GCCGTTTCACATGTTTGCCGCATTCAGAAATTTCCGCATTTGCACAAATCAGGAACTCAATTTTGTTGGCGATTTGATGATATATATTTCTCAAGGGTGCAAACGCACCAAATCACCAACAGTCTCATTTAACTTTCGGTCCTGTTTCGCTGTGGTTCTTTCAATCCGCACGCCACGCATGTGATTTCTCTGATCAGGTATAACAACAAGCTGCACACAGCCGCCTTCACGTTGTTCCGCTGCAAGAGAATTTGGCGCTTTTGATTTCGATCAGATAATTGAGTCAATCCTAATCGATGTCTATTTTAGCTTGTCGCAAGTACAGTGCTGTTAAAATCTTTGCGAATTGCATTCTATGAGAGTAAAGAATGTGCATTTGGGAAATATCAACAGTGCTTGAGAACTGCTTAGAAAGAGCTGAGATGGGATGCAATGCACAATTGGTAAGCGCTTGGAAACGTTCTGATACAGCGCTTCTGGGACGAATCAATATCAGCGCAGCAAATTGCAAGTACAAGTGCAAGTGCAAGTGCAAGTGCAGCAATTGCTTTTTTGCTTTTTGCTGCTCGCTGCTCAGGCACAAGAGACAGGTAGCGCCTTGGAAGTGACCAACTCCTCTTTCGTGGGAAACTCCGTCACTGGAATGCGCTCCTTTGCAAACGGAGGGGGCATCTCCATAGAAGGGAACGGCGTCTCAGCGGCCTTCACGTCGTGCATGTTTTTGTCCAACTCCGCGGACAAGAACGGCGGCGGCATCAATGTGGACGACGCCGCCAGCCTGCGGCTGAGATCGGTGATAGTGTCCAATAATTCAGCGGGCGGCGGCGGCGGACTGTCAGCGAAGGTCAGCTCGAAGGGCCTATGCCCTTCACTCCCTCGGGTATTTACCAGCAACTAACACCAGCTGAAAAGTAATAACTACGCCTAACAACTTGATAGTGTGTCTTTCCTGGGTTACCCCGAGGGCCATTGGTGCTTGCTCAATCTCCAACCCAGCACGCGAATTATCATGAAGTGTTTAGCCCTTCCGCGTCGGAGAATTTTACCGTCACGCTTTTTGCTCCGTAATTTTTTGTTTTCAGAGCCTTTCTTTCTACTGTGTTACTCCGCCAATAAATGCCAAACTTTGCGTTGCCATGTATTTTTTCCTCGCAAAAAATGCGAAGTGTTACTTTACTATGGAAAAGGGCTCAAGATTTTACGGTAGCTGGTTCAGAAGCGGGAATCGTAAGTTCCTGTTTCCGCTGTGGCAGCTGCCGCCGCGCGCAGCCTGCTGGGTCCGTGAAAGGGAATGCATAGTGAGGCGGTGCACGCAGAATCCATGCAGACTGAAATGGAGGGTTTTGATAGTTGTTGCATCTACAGTCGCGACAGGGCTATTTCCGTCCACCTACCATCGCTGTATTGTCGTATTATCATATTAGCGTAATGTCATGTCATATCAATATCGTATTATCTTGATAAGATATTATCATATTGTCGTATTGTCGTCTCGCTGTAATGTTGTGTTGTTGCTCTTTGTGTACATGTGCACACTTATCCACTGAGCGTTTAATTCCAGTGTCATAATGCGCGACAGTGTTGGCCTTTCACTGGTGGAAAATGGCACCAACAGCACGGCGAATTTTATATAATTCGCTGCAATTTTACCGCTATTCAGGCAGGAAATAATCAGAATGGGATACGGCCCGGTTCATTTCGCCACAATTGAACAATTATTCGTTTGTAATTTTTCAATAACTCGACAACGTTCAAGGTACAAGGGCAGCGCTCTATGTCATTGACAACACCAGTCAAACGATTCAGAGAGCCCCGCAATTTGAGCATGAGATTGATTTTCATCAACAACAAACTTTAATTTCAATATTAGGGAAGAAGTGAGCAAATTGCAATTCGCTCTTTACTAAAATTGGATTAATCATTCCCGCGCACATGGTGATCTCGTGAGCGAGAAATCTAGCTGCACGACGAGCCAAATTACGTTCAAATAGTCTGTTTGATATTATAGATGATCGAATCATGTGTGCGCCCTGCAATATCTTGGAATCTCCACTGAAGTCTAATATCTGAAGCAACTTCCCACCGCAAATTTATTATGGTTCCTCATTGTTGGAAATTTTGCTTTCTAGCACACGTTGAGGACAATTGACCCTTCAAAATGCCTAGTCAAGATTGGTCAACTTGTTCCTTGTTTATTTTGACATTGCAAGTTTTGAGCTTGTGCTTCTATCATTAAAAAATATGCCAGGTGCCTTGGTGGGGTGTCTGGATGGATTAGCATCGCTTTTGGCGAAGTCGACTGTGCAACATTTGTGCATCAATTTTAAATTCAGTGGCGTGCTGAAATGTTTCCGCCACATTCATCAATTGGTTGGCGGTCACTCACAGCCAGCGTCGCATGAAATATCACTGGAAATAGATGCCTCTGCCCATTGCTTGCACTTTTTCTTCCATTTTCAGTTGTGTTTGAGATCCTTTGCATCATTTTGTCATGCAGTCTACCTTAGGGTTTTCTACCTTCCTGGCCTTCACCGAGGTCGAGTTCTTCAACAATTCTGCCGGAGAAGGATTTGATCTGGTGGGCGAAAGGGCATGCTCCCAGGAAGCAGGCTTTGATGTCGCCGCGGGGGGAGCACTGTTAGTCAAGGGGGAAGGCATCACCTGCACAGTAGACGGGCCGTCCACGTTCCATGGGAACTCCGCGTTTGACGGAGGCGCAATCAACTTCCAAAGCGTGCGGAGCATGACTCTAACAGGCGTGCAATTTTTCAACAACAGCGGGAGCAACGGAGGCGCAATGCACGCCGACGTTGGCGGCGCGACGCAGCTCGTCGCGATGCAGGCGCTGAACTTCACCCAAAACAGGGGATGCTCCGGAGGGGCGATCTTCACCGAGGAGTCCAACTCGCCGGGGTCGGCAGATGGGACGAATGCCACGGGCGTGGAAAGGGTGCCCCAAGCGACGCTGGTCGACGTGCTGTTTGAGAAGAATGTGGGAGTGAGGAGTGGTGGCGCGATGCACATAGGGGAAGGCATCTTCAGCTGCTCCAACTGCAGCTTCATCAGAAACAATGACCGGAGCCTCGGGTCCCAGGGGGGCGGCGCCAGAGTGCTGGAGGGCGCCGCCCTGATGGTGTCGGGCTCTCGTTTCGTGAGGAACGGGGCTCGGAACGGAGGGGCCCTGTTTTCTGCGGGCTACGTGTCGGCGAACAGCACCAACATCACAGACAACGTGGCGCTCGACAGCGGGGGGGGCTTCAGGCTGGTGACGCCCATTGACAGGTCGAGGCTGACTCACATGCTGGACATGAGCGATTGCCTTTTCGCCGGCAACTCGGGAAAAGATGGAGGTGAGGATCACCGCTGTGGGCCCGCCGCGGAAGGAAAAACAGAATCCGGTCCATTCCCTGCGAAGTTGCCGACCATGGCTCGCTGCAATTTTTGGTTCCTTGGCTGCGGAGTGCGTGATTCCCTGGAGGATATTAGCTGCTCGGAGCATCAGTTCGCTGCCGTTGAAGTTTTATTATTGACTCTTTGCCATCAAATATCTGCTTTGGAGTGAGTGTTCTCCCGCCCTGTGCGTCTGGTGCGAGGAGGAAAACGCAGTTGAGAGCTCACGCAGTCCAATTGCGACGAATCATTGGATCACTTTTGCGCTTATGTCCAATGTCCATGGAGCAAATTCTACTGTCCACATACTGGGATGCCACGTTGTCGCAACAGCCTAGGATGCGAACAGTAGAATTGCACTGAAGTTTGTGCAGAGAAATGAAGCACTAACGTTCCCGCGTCTGCTGGTTGACATGTCTGAGAAGTTTGTTGAAAAGAAACGCAGCGCATTGACGCTGACGACAATTTCGTTTGTGCAAAACCTCGGCGGGTTGTTCATTTAACCAACTCACATTGCACACGTGTCACTTCTCTTTTGTGTTCATAACGCATTTCAATTGCCCTTCCGTTGCAAGCACATTTTTGTGCATGCACATTTGATGCATGCAAGTCTCATGCGTGCTCATTTTATGCAATTCTGTGTGTGCACATTTGTTCCGCTTAACTATAAGAAAACACCGTTATTGTGATGCCAACTGCAATGCCATTTTGACACAAAGTGGCGGCATCACAGTGGTCGCGATGGCACAAAAGTGGGTGCGATGGCATCATTTTGTGTCAAATTCAAAAATGTGTTCCCAGTTGTTACCGCAAAAATGTCTGTTTCCACTGGTGCTTGCCGCTCAACCCGATTTTCTGCCCCCATCAGGAGGCCTCCACATAGCCCCACCCGCCTCGGGCTCCTGCAGCCGCGAACGAGCGGATGGCGTCCCGGTCCCCTCTTCCAACGTCACTGTGGTGTTCTCCAGCGATACTCGCTTCGTCGGCAACATGGCCTTTTCCTCGGGCGCGGCGGTCTTCGCCTCCAGGGCGGATGGTTTCATCGCCCGGTGTGGCCAGACCGTGGCCACAGAGGTCGCGTCACCGGCTGACGTCATGTCCCTTGCCAACTCCTGCGGCTGGGAGAACAACACGGTTGAGGACGGGTACGGCGACATCATGGCCACCCCGCCGACCGGGGCAAAGGCTGTTCCCATTCGAGTTGATGCGCACACGAGCAACCAGCCCCTGCCGGCGGCGACGGTGGACATTCTGGACGCGCTGGGCCAGAGGGCCCTTGGTAGGGGAGTCTTGGTGCAGGTATGTATGTTGGTTTGTCTGCCTGTTTGTTGCTTACATGGATGCTTGGACGTGGTGTCACGGCATCCATTCATGTAGAGTACGACACCAGTGCGCGAGGGGCACATCCGGACCCTCAAATGCCGCCAAAACGCGCCACTAACGGCGATCACAGCTGCTGCAGAAACCACAGAACTCACCCACAAAAATAGAGAAAATGCCTGCAAGCCCCAAATCAGAATAGCAGCCCATTCCTCGTCCAACACTTCACCCAAACCCGTTCATTCCCTGACATTAGAAAAGCTCATAATCGACTGCAATGGCTGGTGCAGGTGGATATAAGGAACGCGACGGAGGACCAGGGAGTTTTGTTCGGCGAGACGCGGAACAGGGCGGACGCCTTTGCCGAGGCCGTCTTCAACGGCACGTTTCTTAAGGCCAAGCCCGGGGACTACGTCCTCGAGTACGGGTACGAGGGGGCGGTGGAGCCAGCGCTGGTGGCGGTCAGTGTGCGGGAGTGCAGGGTGGGTGAGGTGGAGCGGGAGGAGGGGCAGATCTGCGACCCGTGCCTGGAGGGGGAGTACGCGTTCGACCCCAAGGGCCTGTGCCGGCGCTGCCCCCCCCACGCCTACTGCGACGGCGCAACCATCACGCCCATGGACGGCCACTGGCACTCCACATCAATGTCGCCCCAGGTGGGCTACACTGAATGATGCCACGCATGTCGCAAAGTTCCTGACCGCGTCTGTGTTGTTAAACTGATGTGCTCTGTTGCTGGAATCACAATCGGGTGTTGATCATGCACAAAGGTACATTCACAATGTTAGATCCCTCTGTTAATTTGCATGGTGCTCAAACCGGGCCGAGTGCAGCAATCTCCGCGGTGTTTTCCTGCCAGTTTCAAAGAGTGCAACCCTGCACCGGACATGGCCACCGTGATTCTCTACGTTCTGTGCAAGGATGCATCCACTCACCCGATTGCGTGCGTTGCTCCAGGTGCACAGCTGCTTGCAGGACGACGCCTGCAAGTTTGATGGACGGATGGAAGGCCTGATGAAGAACGCGAGTTTGGCGCACGCGGAGAACGGGAGCTTGTCTCGGGAGGACTACATGCAGTGCAGTGCGGTAAGGAACGTTATCTGCATTGGAGCTGCGTTTTTGCCTGGCTGCGAATGCTGCAGCGCGGGCTGTTGAAAATGGCGGACGCCCGGCGCGGTCGTGTCACATCTTTGGTGCATTTCTGATACTTCGGAAGTAAATCGTTTGGGGGAACTCAATGCGCAAACTCGTGAACATGTTGTGCAATGCAAGGCACAGCACAAAGGGTAACCTGATCACATGCCCTTCAAGGTGCGGTACATTCGCAAAGAATCAGCAAAGTTCAAATGAATCGCAGACCCCTTTTCCAGCCGCTCATTAGGAGCACGACGCGTGACGCTGCGCTCACCATTCGAAGTGCCTTTGGGAAGATTGCCTGCTTAATTATAATGAAACATGCCTAAAATTAATCTGAAAAAAGTGACAACTCTGCCAGGGGTACAGGGGTGTTCTTTGCGGGGAGTGCGCTGACGGCTACGGCAAAAAGTCGTCAGGAACCTGCGGCAGGTGTCTCAGCCGCGGCGTCGCCAAAGTGGCTGTGGCTCTTTCGTTCCTGTGGTCAGTTGCCTTGATGGGATACTTCATCGTGAAAGACCTGTCCAGCCTCGAGCGCCTGACGAGGCGGAGGGACGGCAGCCGAGCGCTGGAAATGACGTCGATGGGCAGCCTCAACCTTGAGCCGGCCGTGCGCCATGCCGGAGGGTGCAGCCAAACTTCTGGCAGCGGCGAGCCTCTCATGCAGCGACGAGATGGCGTTGAGGTCGTGGCGCAGAAGCCGACAGGCAGCCTGTTTCTGGCATCTGGGAGACGCCCCACGGAAGAGATCCACCTCAAAGCTGCCAATATGGAGCGCTTGATGCCGCGGCGGGAGGGCAGTCACGCACTGAGCAGGAGCGCCACGGGCAGCGGAGACATGGACGCTGGAAGCCGAGCCGCCGATGACAGCGGCCACACTGCTGGGGCGTCTGGCTCTTGGAACTTTGGGGAGGCATTGCGAGGAATGGCGTCGGGATCAAGTGAGCTGAGGGTGGCCCTGGGGGGGGCGACGAAATCGAGGGAAGGCGGAAAGACCGGCAAATCCAAGTCGCTGGAGAAGCTGCACGAACACTACGCCAGAGAGAACAGATTTTCCGAGATTCTTAAGGTGTGTTCGCCCCCGATTCTTTTCATGTATATCGTTTGTTTCCGCCATTTCCCCAACCTCCTTGACGACCATGGACCCATGTTTGAGAGATCTGACGTTTTCTGTGGTGTACGTGCATGCAGATTGCGCTCAACTTCTGCCAGCAGATCAGCATAGCGCTTTCCATCAAGCTCAATTGGGCAAGGTCTACCCGAGGACTGCTGTCTGCTGTGGGTAAGATATCAACCCCAGCCAGGCCTCTATGGCATCTGGTCCACTTTTGTGACGTTTTGTGATCCTGGATGTGACTATCACAATGAAGTCGTATATAGCGGCGCCTTCAATACCCAGTGCTGCGCTGGGTTGTGAACAATTTGGCTTTGCTCTTTTCACATCCCGCTTCACAACAAATATGACGCCTGTCCTGTCAAACATATAGTTAGACATCTCTTTTGTCGCGTTGCGGCCAGATGCCTTAGGCTTAGTCACATAGACGTCAAAACACAGTCACAAGAGCCAGTGCTGTGGCCTTCATCGTCTTGTTGGCATCCCAGCTCGTTTCATCTGATCGGGTGAACCGAATCGGAAATATTTTGCTCTCTGTCTATAAAATTGTCGTGTCGATGGTCACAGCTGCATATGACCGAACGCTGTTCCCTTGGCAAAAGATCTTCAGGAATCTTGCGGCTGCCAAAGGCCTGGTGACATTACTTGCCAGACTTTTGTACTTCCCATTTCATCGCCGGGTACCCAGCAACAGTCTGAGAGCTTTGTCACTGGACACGGATGCACTTGGATGTCGCCAACGCACGTTGTTGAACATGCGATCAACTCTCACCGGAGCGCTGCCCCTGCAATCATTCTCGCAACCACTGGATTGTGTCTGCGAATTCACCGCGGTTTCGTCCGCGCACAGATCTCATCGGCGCATCGTCAAGCTCGAGCGGCTTCTTCTCCATGGACTGCACCATGGACGGCACCTCCGTGCCCAAGTCCATAATTCGGATGATCGTGAACCTCCTCCGGCCCTTCCTGGCCATCTTCATATTCGTCTTGACCTCTTTGGCCCTCACCCCACGGGGCGCCACCCGCATCCTCAAGCGACGGGTCGTCGTGTCCATCTACTCCGTCTTGTACATCTCGTACATCGACGTCACAGCGCGCCTGGTGCGGGCGGTCTACTGCATCCGCGTCGACCGTGCCGAAATCAGCGGGCCGCCGGTCTCCGTCGCCGTTGGAAACTACTGGACGGAGGACACCGCCGTGAGGTGCCACGAGGGACCCCACCTGGGCGTGGTCTTAGGCCTGGCCCTCCCGCTCTGCATACTCGTGACCTTGGGCCTCCCCGTCTGGGTGGTCCTCTTCCTCCGGCGGAACCGGCATCTTTTCAGAGACGAGAAATTTCTGGGGACGTACGGGGAACTGTACAAGGCGTATAGGCCCCGGCGGGTGTACTGGGAGGCGGTGGTGATGGGCAGGAAGGCGATCATCGCCTTCGTGGCGGAGTGGGGGCGGCTGGGCGCGACGCTGCAAGCGGAGCTGGCGGTCCTCACGCTGGCCGTGAGCTCCTTCCTCCACCTGACGGCCAGGCCCTACAACGCGCACCTCCCCGGCGTGGACACCTACGAGACCCTGGCCCTCGGGGTGTCCCTCCAGATCTTCCTGTCGGGCCTCATACTGGACGATCCCAAGACGCCCGGCGGGGCGGCCGTGACAGTCGAGGTGCTGGCCGTGGGCACAGTGGGCGCGCTGCTCGGCCTGCTGCTGTACCAGCTCCTGAGCGAGGGCCACAACGTGCTGGACACCGTGCTGGACGAGAAGGGGCTGCTGCACGCGGAGGTGGAGCCATGCGCCTCCGCCTTCAAGAAGGTCCGCGTCCTGTGGGGCTACTACGCCAACAAGGGGAAGGACGGCGTGGGGAAGGCCATAGAAAAGGCGCACAGTGTGGCGCACAGTGCCTTGTCCACGATGACTCCGATGTCCCGGGGAGACCTCTTCTCAGCAGACACGCGGGGAGAGGAGACGCCAAGAGGACATCCTGCTGGGGGAGCAGCAGAACAGGCGCCTGAGACGCCGGGGGTCTGAAACCGAAGATGACGCGCCCATGCGGCAAAACTTGTCGCGAGTGAGATTCGCGGATTACATGCAATCGAGCCCCATCCCTCCTTTTCCTCCCGACGATAGGAAAGTATAGGTGGGAGAACGTGTTGCGGGTGTTAGAGAGACGGGTGTCCTCGAGGCAAACTGGCAGAGCAGCCGACCGTGATTGGTGGCCGCGGAGGTGCTGGCAGTGAGGGCGGTGCGGCTCAACTTCGGCGCAAGTCGCGCAAGGGGCACTGGTCACTTGGGAGGGCGGGAAATTTCTGGTGTACTTCCAAAGCGGGGGAGACGTGGAAACGAGAAAGCGGGGTTGTTCATTGGGAGGGAGGAGTGTCTGGTGTGCTTCCACCACGGGATTGTTGAAACGAGCAAGTTCGTGTTAGTGTGACTATGGCTTTTCGCTTTGGCACATAGTTGCAACGAAATGAAGGACGATTTACGATTCGGACGAGGCAAGCTGCTTTCTTGCATCCGCTCCAAATGCCAAGAGCAACAGAGGTGTATGTTGGAAAGCAGTGCAGACGGTTTCTTATTAACAAGTTGATTCCGCGAAAGTCAACGGTGTGGTCGCATGGCAAGGGTAGCGCCACATGTATACATGTGCGTGAGCGACATAAGGACCATGTTGTTGCAACACTGACGCCCGGTTGATGGAAGCCGAATCCTTCCTCAACATGCACGCAAACTCAAGAAGTTGACCAGAAGTGCAGCCCGGTTGCGAACTCCGCAGTTTAGCTGTTCGCTTCATCTCTTGAGAAAGTACTTGCGCTAGTCGTGTATGTTTTGATACATACAGGCTGGGTTGGAACTGATGAAACGCATTCACACCTGCATGGATGGTGTGCAGAGAATGCATCTGGCTTGAGCCGTTTAATTTTGTGAATTTCCAGGTACCATTTGTTACAATCGCGCTTCACACTGTGCCGACTGTGCAAATGCATTGACACAGTGCCCAGCATCGTCGCGAAAGCTTGTTAAAGTTTGTGGCACAACAGCTGTTGGATCTTCATTCCTAAACTCATTGCAAAGACCCAATGAGTTGTTCCGATAAACCCCCAAACATTGCAGCAATTGTCGTAACTGTGCTGAAACGTTCCAATTGCCACAAAGCGATGCAGTTGTGGGTGTCTTTTGCAGTCCCCCTTGTAGGGTGTCCATACTACAAAAGCACCCCTACACGCCGCAGTATGATGCTCCCTGTTCACATGGATTACCACAGTGGATGCTGAGTCGCCGCCGCTAGTAATGATATCCCTGGATGAGCCCCTACCCAATAAATATGCATGCAGCGATTGCCGCGCACGACACTGCTCCGTTGTCAATAGATCAAGAAGATCTATCTATTTGTGGGGACCTCAAGAATGCAGCAGGATTTTCTTGTTGGAAGTTCCCAACAAGAAAATCCTGCTGCATTCCTGAGGTCCCCACAAATGTCCGATACCCATCATTTCCGGACAGGAAGGTCATGAAGTCAATTTATGGGCTCATGACCAGTCTTCAGATATTTAGGGCCATCGTATCCTTCTTGACCTTCATATCTGGAAGTGGTGGGCATCGGACGAATATGTAGGCACATGTATGGGAATTGAGCGTTGAGGTCCCCGTCCAAACGGAAGACCACTGGCGGGCCCCGGTTTCCAGAGGCTCTGCCACTCAGTCGGCTGTTGGCTAAGAGGAGGTGCATTTGCCACAACCACAACACCGATGCGACGTCTTGCGAGCAACCTGGCGGGTGAGAGGCTTGAAGGCCTAATCACGGCATCTGAGTCCCATCGCGTCAGGGACTGTGACGATATACAACGGTTCTGATTAGCGCCCTGCATCGTTGAAGTCGCTGGCCTGTGACCATCCGGGACCAAATTCACGTGGCCAAGGTGTTGACGCCACAACACAGGACGCCCCAACATATTGTGCATTAGCCGACACGGTGCTACTGCGGGTTCCCAGTCTTGGCGAGTCGCGACTGGAGTTGATTGCACGGACGACCATGGGCCTGGCGTCCTGTCGACTCCAAAGACTGGAGAGAGAGTGCCGGGCCCCTCTCGGAGGGTCCCTGGGGTTGTGAAGCAAACGGTTCCCCACCGTTGCTCTCGGATGCGTTGACATGACAGCGGCTGGACCACGACTGAAGGATGGTGCCTGCGTATGAAGGGGCATGCCTGTCAGCGCCATCCCAATAACTCTGATCTCTCAGCAGCTTAGTTTCCAAGCCCGTGGCCATTCCCGCCTCCGACACAGTCCCACCCCAAACCTTGCGTATCGGAGCGTGACCTCGAGCTGCAACGCCCACATACCACACCAAATATGTGCATATTATCACTACCGCAAAGTACCGTATCAGCACGTGATTTTTCAGCTGCCACGTCCTCTTATCACACCAAATATATGCATGTTATCGCCGCATTCCCCTCCCCACGCCCAAAGTCGCCACGCACCACCCATCACGCGCATCAGCGTGGGGTCCCAAAACTCAACATGGCCCCCCCGTTCAGTGACCCTCCAGGAAACGAATTCGCCGAGGCCAACGCTAATGACGCTGGCCCGCTCCGGCCCGCGGGCCGCGGCCGGTTGACACTTTCCGGGGAGGTGCCGCGGGGCGCCCATCCAACCGGAGGCCCGCAAAATGGCACGACCAATGACGCTTCCCCAGGCCCGACCACGCGGACATCACTCAATCTCAGCGCGGTTCCCGGTACGGAACGCTGCTGTACAGGACGCGGCTCTGGGCCCCCGGTGGGAGGGCAAAACCCCAGGTGCAGCCGACGTCGATCCAACCGCATGCCGCCCCTGAGGCTTGTGCCCCCGGCGGCAACTCGCGAGGAGAGGGCCTTGTGCTAAATGGAGCTCGGGCGAAGGCCAAGAGGCCTGTTTGAGAGGCCTGTTTGCCTGCTGGTGATGCTGATGCTGCGCCTGGGCGGGAGATGGGCTTCAGGTGGGCTTGACGTGGCACAGGCGCTGGTGGGCTTGTTGTTGGGCGGAATGGTCCTCAAAGGGTTGGGGCTGCCCTCTTCCTTGCCCCTGGTCAGGCGGCTTGGAAGGGCGGTGGGACATCCCATCAGAGGTACCCGGTTCGATCCCCGGTCAGACGTCCTCTTTGGCATCCGCAGCTCTGCACCGGTCTGGACGCGGGGGTCGTGGCCGTGGCCTAAAGGTGGAGCGATGGTTGGGATGCCTATCTGGGAGTTTGCGAGGGCAGCGACGGAACGAGGGGAAGGGAGGCTTGGGATTTGGGGGGGCGGTGGGGTGGCTTGTTGGTACGACAATTCGGGGAAGGTTGACCGCGGCTGGAACGGGGCCGGAGGCGCTTGCTCGCGAAGTGATAGGACGCGGATTGAGGTCCGGGGTTGGCGACCGCGGGGGCTGTTGACTAGGGAATTGACGCGGCTCTGGCACGCCCCTGGATGGGCCGGGTGCCTGATCGTCGCATGAACAGTTATGGGCTCGTCGGATGCGCGTCTGCGCCCGATTGCCACAGCTTCGCGGCTCTTGCAGGCTGCGCGGGCGCGGGATGCTGATCGGATATTGAGAAATGCAAGAGGCAATCCGCGTCTTCGGTTACGCAAGTGCGGGCGTTTCGGCGAGACTTGGGAGTCGCGGTCAGCATGGACCACCGAGATGCTGGCACAGGGGCCCTGCCCCTTACTTTTGTGTGTTGCTTTCTCCGCTTTTGAGCCCCGCGCCAAGGTGAGGTGTCAAATGTTGTAGTTGTTTCCTGCGCCAGAGGTCGTTTTCATTGGCGTGGGCAAGCCTTCCTGCAGCTCGTTTGTGTTGGTCGTGGAAATGTGGCTCCATGCAATGCAAGCAACGGGCACAGGCATTCTATCCTAATTCATTCTCAAACATCCTCATAATGCAGGCCAAGATCTGGACTGCCAGTCCGTCGTGCAAAATGGCACAGGGAACCCGCAGATCCTCGTGACGCCTGGGCTTTTGCAAGACTCAGGAGGTGACCTGCAACCGCTGATCGATTGCCTCCCTGAGGCGGGCATCCTGATCCTCGATGTACCGGAGGTTGTCCCGCGGTCGACGCTCGTTCTGGAGCGTCCCCTCAGGATTGAGTCCGCGGCGGAGGCAGGCGTCAAAGTGCCAGTGCAGTGCCAAGAACTGACTGGCAAGCTCTTTGACATAAAGTATGGACACCGCCCCAGCTGCCAGTACTTTCTTGACGACAACGCATTATTGCCTTAGTGATTTTCTAATCACAAGCTTCTTCATGTTTTCGGCTTGTGAGCCACAAATGTGCTGGCAGAGTGAGCAGGGAAAGCTGAAGGATTTACAGGGTGCCCTTCTTGACACCGAAATCCTGGCTGTTGAGTCGATGTAGGAGCAGGCAATTGATGTTGTGCACAGTGTGGTGCAATGGACTTCTAAGTGCCAGGGCAGAGCTGGTTAATTCAGATTTACGGCAATCTACTGGCTGCTGGATTCAAACTATCAGTCCAGCATTGCAACCATTGAAATATTTGTGTGGCCACATTCTTGGACCAAATGCTTAGGTTGCCTACCAAGGCAAGAAAGAAAGCGGTTGCAATAACAATTCATAGCGTTTCCTCCCTGGTTTGCCAGCAGTTGTGCTGTGAGTTTTGGGGAATCAATTGCACAGCAAAGAAAGACAAACACTTGCATTAAGCTTGTCATTGTGTGCTTCCTGCTTCATGAGCATGACGTTGCCGATCCAAGTTGCAGGAAGCCTCCTCAAGACATTCTCTGGCACAACATGGCTCACAAGCAGTCACCGACACGAACAGCAACATCTGATGTTTTAATTGCCATGCAGATCAGGCGGCATGGAGATCTCCGGCCTTTCCTTCAATTCCTGCAATGCCCCACAGATTTTCAAAATATCAAACTGCCCACAAAATTCATCCAACGTGAGCCTTTCCAACATCGACGTTTTTGGAAGCGCCGCCTTCGACACAATGGGCACCATCAGTGTGAACGGCCCCTGCAATTTGGCGATGGCGGACATGACGCTGTCGCAAAACCGTGGTGGCGTGCTCGCCTTGAACAGTGGCGCCTCAGTGACTGCGCGGAACTGCACGTTTGAGGGCAACTTCAGGGCGGGGGGCGGGAGTGCGGCAACAATAAACGATTCAAGTTTCCGGGCTGAGAGCTGTACTTTCTCTGGGAACTCAGCCGGTCGAGGAGACGGGGGAGCAATCAATGTTCAGGTTGGCAACAGCACCCGTAAATATTCGTGTCATGTGTGGCTGAGCATGCGACGAGTGCAGCGATAGTGTTGGCTATCTGTGGTGACAAATGTCAGCAGCAAGGCAGTGGTTCTTAAAAAATTAGGTTTTCGTTGTTTTTTTGGGTGTTGTTTCCGGATAGCCTTGGCCAAGTGTGCAAGTACCTCATGTGCTGTTTTGACGCCTCACGTTCCCATCATTCTGCAGCCCGAGGCGGGCGCCATTAGGGTGGAGATCATCGACTCCTTGTTCTCCAACAACACCGTTGGGGACGACGACAGCGGCGGCGCGATTTCCTTCAAGGCAGCCAGCGCAGTCCTTGATGTGCAGCGGTCTCAATTTCTGGGCAATTCTGCAAAGGGCGGGGGCGCTGTCTGCGTAACGGGCGCGGAAGAAGTCTTCTTCAATCAAAGCCGCCTGGAAGATAACAAGGCAGATCGGGGTGGCAGCCTTCTGTTCGAGGTGCGCAAATTTGTGTGATTCAGTCTCAAATTTCACCGAACTCATTTAACTTGAGCTAATTTAATTACTGAACTATGGAAGTGTTTCATTAATCCACCGGTACAAGCTCCTTGGATAAAGTTATCATTGAGGCGTGGGGCTGCTTGAATTTTTTTGTAGTGTTGGAGTGTCAAGTTTGCGATTTGAAATGCTCCTGCTTGAGCAACGGCCATCGCCACTGAGAACATGGACGTTGAAAGTAATGTGCTGCAATTTCCTGCTTATTGAACCAGGGTTTGTATCAATTGGATAATATCACCAGCGCCAGCAGCTAAGGTCATTTTGGCGATGCCAACTGCGATGCTATTCGACGCTAATTGATGCCATCGAAGCCACTTCTGTGCCGTCGTCATCACTGTGATGGCGCCACTTAGTGTCAAACGGCATCCCAGCTGGCACCGCGGAAATGGCGTCTCTGCTAGTGGAAAGTACAACAGGCATCTGACTTTTTAATCCATTTGAACAATTGATAATTACCGATGTTTCAAATAACTTTGACCTTTAGGGTGCACTCAATTCATCGTGTCCGCTGCCGGTTCGTTTCCTTATTGGCGGGCCCCGTGTTGCTTGGCCACCCAGGTTGCCTTGGCAGACTTGCCTCAAATACCACCGCCACCAGAGCTCAGAAGCAAGGCCTTGACATTCATTCCAAAACCTTGCGCGACCCACTTGATGTTTTGCACGTGACTGTTGCTACATAACGATGCCGTGTGTCAAGCAGACGCAGGGGCAGCCGATCAACATCTCCATCTCCTCCACAACATTCGCCAGGAATTCTGCCGGCGTGCTTGGCGGAGGCGCCATATTGGCGCTTGGCCAGGGCTCGGTACTGCGCAAGGTGGAAAATACAACTTTCGTCGGCAATTCCGCTGCCGCCAGCGGAGGGGCAGTCGAGCTCGACAAGGGGGTATCGGCCAGCTTCAAAGACGCGTTCTTCGACGGCAATGCCGCCGCTGCCTTCGGTGGAGGGATCGCGGCGCTGGTGAGATACACAGACTCGCCAACAATACTGTGAAGTTAACTGTGAAGTTCTTACTGCGGCTGCCGGAACGTTGCGGCATTAAATTTTTGGCGTCACGTCAACGCCGCGCGACAGCGCTATGGCATTGCTGTGGCATCAGGGGTTCGAATATGCAGTTTGATTTCGATTCTAGGGGACATGTGACACTGTTGAATGACCTACAAAGTTGTGCGTTGAGCTCGAAATGATACATGTACTCTCATTGAAACTCGACGCACAATTCTGGAGGTCATTTGATAGTGTTACATATGAATTAGCACAAAAAGCGCTTTCTATTAGAGCTCGTTATTGTTGGGGAACAGCGCAGCCATGATCTTCGCATTTGGGGCGTTTTGGCAATTCGCGTTTTCAATCAATATCGTGATGTGCCGCGCATTGTTCATGCAAAATTTGCGTGAATTTTCGTTAATAGCAGCACCTCATTGACAAAGATTTTTTGATTGTATTGATATAGCTTAATTCGCATTCGATTTGCATCCCAGGTGCATGCTGCTTAAAAAGTCCTGCAGAGTTTCCTCTCGACACTAGGAAAAAAAGGTCCAAATAACGCGTGTTCAAACGTGCTCAAAATTTACGGTTTTGGTTTATTTTCGTGTTTTTGGCATGCGGGACGTTGATGAAATGCATATATATGTGTTCGAGAAAAGCTTTATTTGACCCCTTGTTTGCTAGTGAGAAGCCAGAAAACTGCGCGGAGTAGCCTGGCAGTGCCGCCAGTTTAACTTCTTGAAGTTTTGAAATGGTTCGCGGCATATGGCTCCCTGATACCAAGCTCTTGCCTGCACACAGGAAGGCGCCTTTGCATCGAGTTTAGATTTTGAAAACACCACATTTTCCAATAACAGGGCCGACGAGGGAGGTGCCGTGTACCTGATGGGAGAGAAGCTGAACACGTCGGTAGTGGGCGGCACCCGTTTTGTCGACAACTTTGCCCTAGAATTCGGCGGGGCCATCGCATCCATGGAAGATGGAGACCTCCGTGCGGATGGGGTTTCGTTTGTCGGAAACCAGGCGAACAATACTGGGGGGGCCGTCTTCATTTTGGTGAGGGTGTCATCCGCCAGCAAATTGACTGTCGTCATGCAATGTTGAATTAAATTTTCATATAATATGGGCGCTTCGAATATCATGGGAATAGCACGTGGGCTACACCGCCGCGTATGAAACGCAGCCAGTGTTGGGAGCTCAGTGGTGTCGCAAGTGCTGATCTCCCGCGCATCCCTGCCTGGTTGTGCACATTGCATCAGAGACACAGCTACTTCACCGTGGCTCGCTTGTTACGGTAAAAACACATGCAATGTAGGCGGCTGTGGGCTCGCAATGGCATAGTCGCGATGCTCATTACCGTCGAGATGCTTTTTCTGCTCATTACCATAAACATGCCCTTTCTGGTGCACTCCCATTCTTCTCTCTTTAATCAGCAGCATGGTGCCACACACCGCGACACGTGTCTCACAACGCGATCCTCTTTGCACACCCTCCTTCCCACAGTAAAAATTACAGAGTCGGTGCCTTCCAAACGACGGGTCTGCGCATTTGCTGCAGGGCACGTCCATACAAGCTGTGGCGCGGTTCAAGAACGCAAACTTCTCTGAGAACCGGGCCCTCGCGGCTGGGGCGCTTTTTGCCGACGGACTCCGCTTGAGCGTGGAACTGGGCCCCAACGTCTCCTTCCTCGACAACTCCGCCATGGGTGGGGGGTTGCAGTTCGGCGGAGGCGCCGTCAACCTCCGATCGGTGGGAGAAGTGCTGGTCCGCAACGTGACTTTCGAGTTGAACCGAGCGGAGCAGGCCCCTGGAGCTGCCATGCTGGTGGAGGTGGGTGAAAGGGGTCCTGAGGGGGTGGCCTTGTCCCGCTGTTTGGCGGCTTGTCTACTCATCTGCACTGTCGGCGTCAGGCCCTGACTCCTGGAGATGGAAGGCTTCCCGAAATGTCGCGTTTGTGCCTTGTAGCCGTCTCTGAAACCCGCGTGCTATGAATATAATAGACAGCGATTAAGCTTGCCTGGTGATTTAATATATCTAATTGAAGACCAAGTATGACAGTGTAACTGTGCAAGCGACTGGGTAAGCAATCAGAATAGCTGCGTGTACTGGGCAGTTTTTACATTATATTTACGTTTTACGCGTTTTTACGTGTAAAAACGTAAAACTATTTTTGCGCGTAAAAACGCAAATGCGATCTGTGTTTACTGCGAAAATAACAGGCCTGGTTGTCGGTGGTATTGCATCAATGCTTCAAACATGTTACCATTGCAAGCAGGGCCTGTTCTGTATGTCCGCGCATGGGAACTTGAAGCTCGCTGTGCAACACGTCGTTCTTCGCCATACCCCAGACCTGGACGCTAGGTTGGCCGTAGTTGCCCATGATACTTGACTGTGCAGACTGCTTACATCGCAGGCGCACGAGGTGCTCAGCAAGGTGATATTGACGGAATCCAGTTTCTCCAGAAATTCGGTCCGGGGAACACGATTGTTCGCCAACGGAGGTGCCCTCAACCTTGTGGGGAAGGGAATAACTGCCAACATGACAAAGTGCGTGTTCCGCTCCAATGCGGTGGACATGAGCGGCGGTGGCGTTGCGGCAAACGGCGTCGCGTTTCTCCACATGGACTCAATCGTTGTGGCCAATAATTCTGCTGGTAACACGGGAGGGGGCATGTACGTACAGGTAGGCTTGGTAAGGGCAATGATATTGTCACTGGTTTCATCTGCGAATGTTGTCTGCTGTCTATGATTTTGATTAGATGGCGTGTATAAGCATATTTTATTTCATCCAAAACCGATTGGTATTGTGTTTTGTTTTATCAATCGCTGTTTCACTGTTTCCATTGCGAGACCGTATGGCATTGCGAGATGGTTTGGCTGCTACATGAGCAATAATGGTTATGCAGCGCACATCGATTCCAGCCGGCAATGCGATCGATGCTCCTATTGAAGTCACATTGAAATCGAGTGGGATAGAGGTCTAACGGATTTCACAACCTGAATTCTGTTGGCGAGGAAGGAGGTCAGCTATGTTCTGATGTCTTTTGACATTCCATCAACATGCTGGCTCACACAGGTAATCTTGCTTGGTGACTCTGTTACCATCAGGAACGGGTCTGTCTGAAGTCAGCCCGTACCCTGTGACAATATGCTTGATACAGAAAATGGCTAGCGAATGCCTGTGTGTTGCAAGCAGGCATTCAGCAATGAACCAAGCGTGCTTGTCCTCACAAACTTGACTTTTGACCTCAATTCGGCCGGGGGTCGAAGTGCACAGGAGATTTCGAAAAGCTGCTCCAGGGGGAGCTCAGAAACAGGGTCAGGGGGTGGCCTGGCCCTGTTTGGCGAGAACGTCGCGTGCACCATCAACGGGTCATCCACCTTCAGGCGAAACTCCGCGCTGAACGGAGGCGCCTTGGATTTAGAGAGGACCGGCGAGGTTACATTGCAGGACACTGAATTCGTTGGCAACGCGGCCATACTGGGAGGCGCAATGCGCATGATACTGTCGCACGCGGCAGAAAAGACTTTCGGAGACCGTCTGAAATTTGTCGAGAACAGTGCGTGCGACGGGGCCGCAGTGTGCGTGGACGGGGACAGGCTCGGCCCGTCCGACGCTCCGCGGAACGTCACCTCCTTCCGGAACGTGCTGTTTGAAAAGAACGTCGTGGAAAACGGCGGCATGGGCGGCGGCGGCGTATCTCTGAGGAACGCGGACATGCGGTGCCAGAGCTGCACCTTCTCTGAAAATGTTTGCAAGGGCGCCCTTCCTGGGGATGGGCTTGGCGGCGCCGCGCTGGTGACTTCTGGAGCGGCTCTGCGGTCCCTGGAGTCCAGATTTGAGGGAAATGTGGCCAGGGAGGGGGGCGCCGTGTATTGTGCCGGGCGATTCGTGGGAAATGGCACCGACTTCACTGGAAACGTCGCCCGAGAGAATGGAGGAGGCTTGAGGATCGGCCGATCGCCGGACGAGGCCGAGCCCCAGGTGGAATTGATAGGCTGCCGCGTGTCTGGCAACACGGCGAGGAGCGGCGGTAAGTTGAAGTCGGTCTTGAATGAACGCCAGGGCAGAACTTGACGCGAATTTTACCTACCGAAACATGTCACCACACGGCTCGCAATGTGTTTTTAGTCGTGGCATGCAGGCGTTAAGCCGTCTGGTGTCTGTGAAATGTTGAGAAATTCGTGCATTTGGCTGTGGCATAATTCATTTTTGCGCCAAATGAACACAAGTAATTGGCCCGCCCAAAAAGAGATTCAGAGCATACGAACATTGATGTGCATTTGCAAACATGGTCCAGCTGTTATTCACCCCCTGCATAATCTGAAGAGTATGAAGTTTGATCGTGTAGCCCGTGTTATGTGGACATATTGATGCATTGTGTGTTCCATTTGTTTGTGTCAACATATACAAAAGCCGACTCATTGCGAAGCTGATATGTACTGCAACCTGCGATTACGCATGCACGCGCTCGGCCCACATGCTTGCAAGCGTGTGCTCACGGATCTGACCACAGGCGGCGTTTTCTCGTCCCCTGCGGACCTCGCAAGGCTCTCCTGCGACGCCGCATCGAAGCTCCTAGACGACGCCCCCCTGCTGCTGGCCATGACCGACACGCCCTTCGCCAACAACACGGCCCAAAACTCCGGCGGCGCCATCTTCTCCGCGTCGCCGACGGGCTACGAGATCCGCTGTGGATCCGGCGCCGCATCGGGGCCCGCCTTCCGATCCCTGGATGCCTTCGCCCCCGAATCGTGCGGCTGGGCGAACAACGCCGTGATCGACGGATACGGCGACGACCTGGCCACTGGGCCGGTCGCCTTGAATCTTTCGCCGACGTGGATCGACGCCCACCCCAGCGGCCGGCCACTGCCGCCCGTGAGCGTTTCCGTCGTGGACGCTCGCGGCCAGAGGGTGCTTGGTGCGGAGAGCGTGGTTGATTTGTCACTTCCGGAGCCCGAAGATGCGCTGTCCGGACAGAGGTCTGCAGAGACGGTCAACGCGCTGGCGCTGTTCGACGGCACGTTCCTACGCGCCGACCCGGGAGATTACGCCCTGGAGTTTAGGGTGGCGGAGGGTTTGGCTGCGGCGGGACTTGAGGCCCGGCTGCCGGTGAGGGTGCGGGGTTGCATCGCTGGGGAGGTGCTGAGCCAGGACGGCAAGGGCTGTGACACGTGCCAGGCCGGGCACTACAGCTTCGACCCCGAGGTGGGCTGCGCGCTGTGCCCCGCGGACAACGCCATGTGCAACGTCTCCGCCATTGTGCCGTTGGACGGTGAGTGAGCGTGCCGCCCCCGCCATCCAGAATGAACGAATGATATCCAATTACAGATTATAACCTGTAATTAACCAATAAAAATGGCAATTATGTGAATGAAATGCCAATTATAGGCTAATGAGCCAATAAAAATGTACCACTGTCCCCTGTGCAGCGCTTGGACACACACACGGTGACGTCGCGCATTGCTGCTGATGTCCTTTGTTCACCACTCGCTCATGTCCAGATGCTAGGTGTTCCACCACTCCCCAGGCCCCCTCCCATTGACACTAGGAAAAAAGGGCCAAATAACACGTGTTCAAGCGTGTACAAAGTCTACGGGTTTGTGTTATTTTTGTGTTCTCAGCGTGCAGAACATTGACAAACGCATTTCATATGTGTTCGCAAAAATGTGATTTGGTCCTTTTTTTTCTAGTGTGAGCGACCCAAGACCACTAGCCGTGAAGAGTGTTGAGTCCGTTGTACCCGTTGGGAAACATGCCGGAAGCAGACGCAACCAGTGCCCCAAATGGGGCATATTACTGCATGTTTATGGATAACAACGTGCAAGAATGGAAAATCCATAATCGGCTAATCCGTAGAATCTGCAACATTCGTTGTTGTGCACAAGCAGAAGCCTGCTTATGAGCCGGAAACAACTTGCTCTCCAGGGAAGGATTGCATTGCAGCAGGGTGCGCACACTTGAATTTCAGCGAATGTGTATCGAATACGCCGTATCCACATGAATTCGAGCTTTCTGGATACATACTGTACGTGCTGGTGATCTCCCGTCGTTCTGTGCCCATAGCCATGCACTTAGGATCTCCAAATTCTCTTCAAACGAGCCACACACACTTCACCGGGGTCATCAGGAACTGCTGATGCAGAGCAATACGCAAATTTGGCTTAAACAGGATGAACATCACATGATCTAGTCCCGAGTTTATGCGGCCGATAGATGTGCAATACTCGCGCACGACTGCAGCCTTCTATCGCAATATGAATAAGCTCATGAAATGCGCGAAAAGAGGAGTTCTTGCCAGTGAGTGGGTGCCCCGCTCCGTGCCTTGCCACATTCCTTCGGCGATGCATTGAGCGACAGACAGACCCGCAAGCTGGCAGGCAGGATTTGCGATGTTTATGCGAAAGCTGCACAAGGAATTTCGCGACTAAGTTCTTGAGAATTTGCCTGCAATTTCTGTACATAGGTTTTTGGCAGTCAACATCGAGGTCGATCCAGGTCAGCAATTGCCTGCTGAAGCAGGCGTGCAGCTTCGAGTCCAGGTCAGAGAGGTTGTTGAGGGAGGCGCGGAGGGCGCATGCTGACAACGGAACGCTGACGGGATTGGATTATCCCCAATGCGCGACGGTGAGATTATGAATCTTAATAAGCAACTGAATTGACGCACTGACAATATAAATGCGATTCCTTCGTCCACGGTGCCACGCGGCGGGCGATTGCGGCTAGCCGGTTGCTGTTGGAGTATGCCTCATTTGCTTCATTTGAGCCGCACTGAAAGCACCCAGGCCTCAACGCCAGTACGGAAGCCATGCAGAACATTGGAGCCCAAATATGTCCTATGCCTGAGTTGACCAAATTGCACCTGTGTCCATATCAGTCAGGGAATTGGTAGCGCAGTATGTATTAATCAGAGATAGCGCCTGCGGTATCGTATTTATGCAACTTCTCATAAAACTCGAATGCAGGACATGGCAATATAAATTGCGAATGCTGTTGCAAGCCTCCTTTTGTCTTCAAGCACAAGAAGCCGGGGACATATTCCTCATTTGGCTGCGGCCCAGGCAGTCCAAGGCAATTTGGCTGCGGCCCAGGCAGTCCAAGGCAATTTGGCTGCCCATCATGATGGTAGCATAGCTGATCAGCTACGCTCCCAAACTCACCTAACCCATAGGCTGAGTTGATATGAAAGCAGGATTGTTATTTACGTTTACGCTCTTACGTTAACTTTCAGGCGTAAAAAATGAATTTGCAAAAAGAGGCTACTTTTACGGCTCGTTGTGATACCAGATTACACGATGGAAGTTGCGTACAGTGATCAGCACTTCGCCCCCTTGAGTGCCCCAACACAACGTCCATTTCCCACTCGGCAAGGGCCACGATGGAGTGGCACAAAATCGTTTTTTTCTGCCCATTCCAGTGCATCTGGCTGCCATTAATGGAGTATTCCCCGGAGTCCCGAAGGCTGTATGTACTGTCCTTATGTACATAGGGCTCTTTTTACGTTGTATTTGCACAATTTTACACGCTTTTACGCGAAAAAATGTAAAAAACTATGTTTATGCGTAAAAAAGTCAATACGATCTGTGTTTACGGCGTAAACAACAAGCCTCTTCGAAAGCACATAGCAGAACACATGCGGGGGGTTACGTTAACACTACGCAGCGACACAGTACGCGAGGGTGTGGCACTGAGGTGGCTATCACTTTTAAATTGCTTCAGGGGGATGCATTCGGTGTTTCCGTTACGATGGGGAAGTAATCCAACCGTGTTTTTTTGTAATTTTTGTTTCCCCACCTGTCTTGTCCAATTAGATTGCATGGCCGCGTCATGGGCACCACCTTAAGGATGTGCGATCCGATTCTCACGGTTCCAGTACAAGGGGCCAAACAGAGTTCGTTGCTTCATTCGCATCGAGCAATTACAGCGATTTTAGCTTCGCGCCTCCCTGTGCCTGTGGAAAGTAGTCCAACATTCAACATCGCATCTGCTTCTATTCCGATGGATGGGTAGAAGAGCCAGCTTGCGCTATTCCCCAACGCGTCAGGAATCCTTGAGTGACACTTGAATTTTCTTTGTGATTGCATTTGTCACAAATCAAAGCTAAAGCCCTTGCACCAAACTGGCGATGTCGGGCGAATGTCGCCTGTCAACAAGCGCATGTTTTCGATCTAATCAACGCAGTTTCTTCGCGAGCGCGTCTGGTCGGCCTTGAAGGGAACGGCCCGTTCGCACATTTTTGATGGCCAGCCGACACACAACTGTTGGATGTTGTGACGCCCGGCACCGCTTGGGAGTTGAGGAGCCTGGCCCCTAACATACTGCTGTGCAAAACATGATCCACGTGGAGTAAAATACTCAACCCTTCTACACAGCTACGTAAGGCTTGGCCTTTTCATGCGGGAAAATCTAACAAATAGCAAAGCAGTGGTGGGCGTTTTTCTGCGTAGCAACGTAAGAAAATATTGCTAGCGCTCTGAAAACAAAATGCCGAGTAAAAACGTAGCGCCAAAATTTTGTGATTCGGAAGGGTTGATTTCTTTTCAGCACGACCAGTTGACATAATTGACGCGAACAGGGATACAGGGGCATATTGTGCGGAGAATGCGAGGAGGGCTATGGCAAGAGGTCGTCGGGAGAATGCCGAAGATGCGAAGGCAAGGGCAAAGTCATCTTCTTCATCTCCCTGGCATCCGTGTGGTCCCTCATCTTGGTGGGACTCTTCATCCGCAGCGCCCTGGTGAAGGCCCAACACTACGACGCCTCGCTCGAGGCCAACCGCCAAAAGCCGGCGGGCATTGTGGACGACTCCGCGGCGGCGCAAGGATTTCAGGGCAAGCACATTGTGGAGGCCGTTGACATATTTTCAACGCCAAGAGATGTGGAGGAGGAAATAACTGCGGACAGCAGGGGGCTCTGGAAGGATCCGGACGGGGACAGCAGGGAGCTTCAGCACACCGACACGCTGGCTGTGGTGGACGCAAACTACGCCAGGGTAGAGAGGGCCCCAGAGTTGTTCAAGGTAACGACCCCCTGGTGAATACAGTCCACCGATCATCTCGGGAAACCTAAAAGGGACCAAAGAGCGGTTTAAATATTCTGCCGAACCCATCTGGCAGCCGTGGGTGTTGGCCTTTGGGTACATTTCGGAATGGGGAGTTTATGTTGCATTGCTCGACAGGGATGGTAAGTGTTGCTGTTCAAGTGGGACAACCGCATAAATGCCCACGTGCACTTTAACAGAATGCTTCGCTGATCTGCCCGTTCGAATGCCTGCTTCAGTGATGAACGAGCTGCAAAGTGGACTACAAAAGTATTTCTGTTCTGTGTTGATGTTTGAGCATCGAGACGTGAACCATCTGTTTTGTGTTTGCGTGCAGATTCTAATCAATTTCCTGCAGACAATAAGCATAGCGCTGGCAGTAAACGTCGAATGGCAGACGGCTATCAGACGACTGCTGTCCGTTGCAGGTGGGCTGGAAGGCAGGGTATCAGAACAGGGCATATCATTGTGATGGTCGAAATCAGCGTTTTGCGTTCTCAATTCCTTTCTTCGGAACTGCCCTTTTCACCTCACCCCTTCTGCTGATTCAGAATCTACTTTTCATCAAACGAAAACTCAGCATTTCGCTATATTTGGGATCCAGAAATACATGCGTCTGCAATATGTATTGTCCTTCATGGGCGCTTTGACCGCAAATCCCAATGAGTGCTCACAGTGCCTGCAGACCAATTCGGGGCAGATCATGCACAAAAACGAAATAAGGGAATCCTGGAATACATGTTGTGAAATGCAATCCAGAGCATGTTATGTTCTCTGCTGAAGAATAAGCAGAATACGCAGGGAGACGTCGAATAAGAATCGGAAGCTCAGAGCAGAGTATGTTATGCGAAGCGAAGATATGCTGAATTTGACTGCTCTCGATAGACATCGCTTTCCATTCCATTGTTTGAATTATCGTGATGGACTCTATATTTGTTGCTGCTGATTTGCGTTACTTGAATTCTACACCGCTTTCATGTTACTGGGCTCTTAGGATGTGCTGCGGACATATGAATCAGCCGCCGTGCATCATGAGGGGAGCTGCTCACTGCACGACTAATGCCACAGTCAGCTCAATTTACTCCAAAAGGCAGTCGTGCTTTCACACCGCCGAAAGATGGCGCGTGCAACCACAAGCTCACCGTTGCATCGTTGCTGTTCCCAGACTTTGGAGCCGGCTTTTCGAATGGCAGTGAGTTCTTCTCCATGGACTGCGCCCTGGACGCATCCTCTCACCCCAAGTCCATCTGGCGCAACGTCATAAACCTCCTGCTCCCCTTCATCCTCAAGACCGCCCTGATCCTGGGCTGCGTGGCCGCCACCCTCTGGACCGCCGCCCCCGGGCGGCTCCTGAAGCGACGCATCATCGTATGCATCTATATGGTTCTCTACGTCTCCTACTTCGACGCGACGTCTCGGCTCGTCCGCGCCTTCTCCTGCGTGCGAGCGGACGACGAGGACGTGCAGGGCCTGCCTGACTCGACGGCCCTGGGGCATTACTGGACGGAAGACACATCCGTAGAGTGCTTTGAGGGAAAGCACCTGAAGTTCGTGCTGGGAATCGGCGTGCCCATGCTGCTGTTGATCCCCGTGGGCCTGCCTCTCTGGCTGGTCGCCTTCCTGCGCGCCAACCGGAACAAGTTCTCTGACCTGGAGTTCTTGGGCACGTACGGGGAGCTGTACAACGGCTACAAGAGCGAGCACGCCACCTGGGAAGCGAAGGTAATGCTGCGCAAGGCGCTGCTGTCGCTGGTGGCGGGGTGGGCGCGAATGGGAGGGAAGCTGCAAGGCGTGCTGGCCGTCGGCATCCTCTTGATCAGCGCCTTCTTGCACATGCGCGCCCAGCCCTACAGCGCCTCCCTGGCGATACTCAACAGGTGAGAGGCATGGGATTATGCCTTGCGCTCGGCGACGAAACGGGTTGAGTAGACAAGATTGGTGGAAAATGGCCACTTGCGTGTTCCCATTGCGCAGGGGGTGATCAATTGCTGTGTCACAGGCACATGCGCCACAACTTGAATTTGGATCCTTCCCGGCGGGATCTTCCGCAACAAGCTCCCTTTCAACCAATCTTGCTGTCCAGAGGCGCTGGGCGAACGTAGGCATCTGGCTTCCAAGCAATTCGTTGCAGCACCAGATGCACATGAAGTGGCTTCACGTACATCACTGAACTGAAGTAAAAGCAGTGAATGACTATCGCTCATGTCACTGCAGTATTATTGCGAAAAGGCGACAGCCGTTTGCCGCATGTTCTCCAATTAGCGCACTACGATTATAGATATTTCTTGTATCACTGAGGCCTCAGTACTACCACCTCATTTGGGAACTTCTAAACGTCGATATGTACATATTTCTATGTTGAACGGCTCCGAGTTACTGCACACTATGCAAGGAAGTGCTCATCAACTGGTTACCTTCAATCTATCAAGGCATTGCCAAAAGACAATGTCATGATACCGTGGATGACAAACTTTAACTTCAGCATCGTGATCTACTTGCCGAGATGCTAGTTTTCTTGGCAGTTGGGCTTTTGCTTTCACGATGTACTAACCGCCAAAGAAAATTATTGCATCAGCCAAGAGACCAATGCGATTGGATGCCAATGCCCAACAGGGTCGAAACCCTCTCGCTGGCCGTCTCCATCCAAGTGTACATGACGGGCCTCATCCAAAACGCGCCCACAACCAAGGACAGCGCCAAGGCCGCCATCACGGTGATGGCGTTCGTGTCCGTTCTGGGCCTCGTGTCCTTCCTCCTGCGCATCCTGGTGGTGGATACGGGCAACTTCCTCGACAACTTCCTCGACAGGAATTCGCTACTGGGGAAGGCGGAGGGGGCGACCGAGATCGACAAGGTGCGCATCCTGGCGGAGCACTACTGGCAAAGGTTCAGGGACGGCAGGTGGAGGTGCATGGGGAAGGTGACGGGGAAGGCGGGGTTGGCTGAGTGCGTGAGGGATGGCAACGACGTGGGGGAGGAGCAAGGGTCGCCAAGGGAAGCGGACCAGCCGCCGCCGCCTGAAGAGGTCGCCGCGCCGCGGCGCAGCAGCGTGGACCGCATCACTGCTTCCATCAGAAGCTGGTGGAATGGGTGCTGATGCCGTTGCGAGCTTATGGGGAGCTGGCGCCAGGAAGGCGGTTTTCCCCGCGTTGCCAAACAATCCGTGTGAGCTTGAAGCGAAGGTTCAGGTGGCTGTGTTGGCGCCCCGTGGAGGACGGCTCAAGTTCAATCGTCAAGCGCGTGGCTCGAGGCAATGGAGTGGGCGAGCTTGCTGCAGGCGGAAAGAAGGGTGGTTTGATGGGTGTAGGGGACGCGCTGATTCACGGGATTCGCACACACAAAGATCGTAGCCGATGCATGGCCGGATCTTCCGGTAGGGCGCAGTGCAGCCTCAACGGAATGGACGCCAAGCACGGGAGACAGAGTCCACAGAATCGCAGAATATACACACCGTAGATTGGCTCCATTTATTGGCGGCACGAACACACGGGGACAGTCGCCGCAAATAGGCATGCGAATCGCAGCTGCCTAGATGGATGGCCTGTAGGAAAGCAAGCCGCATGTGCCTCGTTGGCAATGCTCTGACTAACAAAATTTGATATCAACAGTGTATTTTGTGTGTACAAATGAATTTTACATGCTGTATCAAATGAAATTGATGTGACTACATTTCTGATGCGCACTTCGGAATGGAGTTTGAATCTTCTGCGAGTGCAGTACTTCCTCCGTTCGGAATTAAATAAAACAATTTGTTGACTGTCTGCATCCTTATCATGTACTTCTTTTCCTTTCAAATGGGCCCAGGATATCTGCTATGTGTTTAGAGTATTTGCTATGTGTTTAGTGAATGCTCTCGAAAACTTATCAACAGAAAATAAGGTTCAGGCACATGGTAGTAATTTGAAGCCGAACGACTCAGCACCAGAATTCGAACATTTGCAGTCAGACCACCCCATGGGATTCTAAATGCCATTGTAGGTGAGGAGGGCAATCTGCACGGCTGCAAATTGATCCATTCTAAAGCTTTCTTTGAAGATCGAACACTTGAAGTAGGCTCAGAAACATGTCAGGGGTTGTTTGCCGTTTATTATTGGCGCTTTTGGGCACCTTGCTTATGTAAATTTTGTGTCAACTACATAATCTCCTAGCATCACAATCTGGAGCCCCCCCCCCTCTTCTTTGCGTCAATTTGTGGATAAGCATACCAACATGTCAGAGGTATCAATTTGAGGCTAAGCGTACCAAAATCAACATAGCGTCTTCCCTAAGCGCCTGCCTGATGTAAGCAACCCCTCTTTCCAAACATGCATCAATCTCAGCAAACATGACAGTGGAGGGTTTGGATGCTCTATTGCAGCCTACATGCGTCGCTATAATGGCGTTCTTGCGATGGCATTGGCGAAGCTCCATTGCAGAAGAGCCCTTGAAAGTGACGTGAATGGTGTGCAAAATGTTTCTCATGGCACGTGCCCACCACCACCAGTTTCAACAATCTTTTGGCTGCCATGCAGCGAGGACATGATCACAAAGTTTCTGTGGTGGTCTTAGCATCCATGGCGACCCTGCTCTTGGCAGCGGCCCTTTCTGGAAATGCTGTGATTGTGAAGTCTGCCAATTTCTGGGTCTCCAATCCCGGGCTGCTGTCCTTATCAAGCCATCAAAAACACCGTGGCGATCAAGGAATGAGCAGTACAGAAGCCGGTTTCGTGGTCTTCCCCCTTTGGAGGAACGGTTTCGATGTGCCGCCAGGACGGCAGCATCAAACGTCCACTCTGGGCTGAACACCAGTTGCAAGGCGACCTGGTCAAGGACCTGCATTGGGTGCTGTTCGGCCAGACCTTGAGAAGCCTCGACTTTTTAGCCTGAATCACAAGGGTTCAAAGTACTGCCATGTGGCTCGCACTCATCCATTGTCCATAACAATTGGCAGTACATAGCAAATGTGCAGGTAGTGCCCTGCTGCAATTTTTAAGGAAAACTAGCACGTTCGTGATACAAATGTAGCCTCTTTAACGCGGCGGTATTATTTACTTGCAGATAGAGGAAGCACACGCGTTTGCTTCAGCTGTGTGGAGGATGGCCCTGCCCCTGGTCAAGGGGCAGCCAAGAATATGTGGGGGGGTGGCGTTCGCACGCACCGTAACGTAACGAGCGTGGGCGTAACCGCGAAATTCGGGCAACTGGAGCAATGGGACCACTATGTATCACAATCCAAAAAGGCAACCGAGATTCCTGCCACAAGGACACCCGAGCCTGCCACACAACACGACATGCATCATATACATCTACTACGCATACATAACGTCAGGGCGTCAAATGCTGCATGCTCCCCAGCCGCAATGCAATCATTCCAGTGCATAGGCACTTGGGCGCCCGCAGCCAACACACATCTCACCTCGCTACAACCGGGCAGCTGGCCGGATGGGTGACTCCTGTTGGCTTGGCAGCCACAATGCCTGCACATCTTCTACCCCTACCCCCAAAAGAAGAAAAATATCCACAAGACCCTGCCCCGTCCTGTGAGATCAGTCATCTGAAAAGAATGCTAATGGTCTTGAAGTTGGCAGAAAATATACAATCACAAACGGCGACAGCAATGGACATCGACCGCCCCTCGAAACAACAAGCATCCACACGTCCTCCGCTGCATAATAGTCTCCCACGCCAGCCACAGCATCAACATTCACATTCCTCTCGTTTGCTGCTCGGGGACAAATTACCCGCTGAGTACAGCGCCGATGTGCCGTCCGCCGTCAAAAGTTGGGCATGCTGTCCAGCTTGTCCGCCGAGGCGCTGGGAGCCATTGACTGGCTTCCCAGCTGCCTCCTGCTGGCTTCGGTCTCCTTAAGGACGCTCATGCCCTCTCTTCGCCGGTTCTTGGACCGATCCAGAGGAGTCGATTTGGTTTCAAGGCCGGGTCTGCCTGAACCCCCCTGCGATCATTCAATCAACCACACGGCCAACAGGTGAGTGTGTCTCGCAGATGGTGAGATCGCCGCACCGTGAGTTCTGGCATGCAAGGCAGTTGCGCTGGGTATTGAGGGGCGCTGGCAACTCTGAACATTGGCTTGCTAATCTTTGTGCATGCAATGCATCGGGAGGCACCCCAAAAGGAAGGAAACCAGTGGAGATACTGTGTCCGCTCTATTGACAGTTGGAAAACCAGAAGTCATTTATACAAGGCGCTGGTTTTCTTTTGCTCACAAGAACTTCAACGAACTGGGCTTTTGGGTTTAAGATCCAAGCGCTGCAGGTTTTCACACTCCAAAGTCCCAAAAGTGCCCAGCTTCAAGCTTCAGCCCACAAACTCCGCAACAAAGCGCCGTGCAGCCAACGTACAACCATTTGACATTCATTGACGCAACCGCAGTTTGATGCCTTTGAAATCACTATGATATCATTAGTGTCAAAATGGCGTCACCACACTTTGATGCCAACGAAATCCCAAGTATGGCTTGAAACTGTTGAGGCGAAACGGCATTAAAACGGCATCAAAGTTGGCATCGCCGAAATGGTGTTTCTACTTATGCAACTGCAGGGTTTCCCACCTCCGTGCTCCGTGCGCTGACGCTGATCCTGGTCAGCACATTCTGCGCCGTGCTGCTGACCCGTGCCAATGACTGCCCAACCGCTTCCTTGGACTTGTCCACGTAGTACTTCCCCAGGATGCCCACCTTTTGCGTCACACCCGCATCACCCGCCTCGTTCAGCAGCTCCCTCTCGTCCAGCAGGAAGTCCAGGTAGTTGCGGCTCTCGCGGATGAGCTCACACAGGAAGCCAGCCAGGAGGACCGTCACGGACAACACGGCGAGGACAGAGACGATCACGCGGGCCACGTCGTTTGTGCCGTCACTGTTGACGATCAAGCCTGACAAATAGATCTGCTTGGGCAGGCAGGCAACAAAGGAACATCAGTTGGGATAAGGATCTTGGTTTATTTCACACTTGCATATTGCTGTTTTCATTGCTTTCCAATGACAACTGAATGCTCGCCACTGGCCCACGCAAAAAAGGTAGCAACAGGTGCGAATACTAGTGCTCACCAATAGGCCAACATCTCCCAAAAAGGAAGCCAAAACAAGACAAAATATAAGGATGTGTGTGGGGGGTGGAATCCAAGCATTTGATGAGCTCACTGCATACAGCAAGTGACCAAATCCAGTGTGTCCATATTTCTAACGAGCACACCAGAGGAAACGCACCCCCTTGAGGTGATAGCACTGAACACAAAATTAACAGAGGGTACAAAAGTCTTAAAGGCTGCTGTGATGAAAGTTGGCCACCTTAAGATGCTGTCCTTCCCTCAGCAACAATCAACGACACGAAAATTTGAGTGCAACAGGAGAACTGCACAGCTACACTGCCTTGCATAGTATTGCATAAGCTGCCGATGGGACACACATCACAACATTGTGGCAGCGCCCAAACTTGTACGTGTGCTGCTCGACAAAAATGCGGCATTCGAACACAAGCGGCAAAGACGCACAACAACTGACCTGCAGGGAGACACCCAGTGCCACGGTCTCGTATTCGTTCAACCCATACAGCGCCTCACTGTACGGCTTGAACACAAGGTGTGCAAAGCAGCTGACAACAAGTATGCTGACAGCCAGCACCCCTTGCAGTTCACCACCCAGCGGCGTCCTCCACACCACCACCACGGACAGCAGTGCCTTTCGCAGCATAATGACCGCCTCCCAGTACACATGCCTTGCTCTAAAGGCCTTATACAGCTCCCCGTATGTCCCCAAGAAGCGCAGGTCGTCAAAGCGCTTGCGGTTCAACCACAAGAAGCTGATCAGCCACACGGGGACGCCGATAGGGATGAGTAAGAAGAGGGGCAGGGCGAAACCCACAAAGAGGGCCAGGTGATCCCCCTCCCAGCATTTCACGTCAGTGTCTTCTGACCAGTAGCTGTCAAAGGCGATAGAGTCAGGAGCGTCAGCGATAGCTCGATCGTCAGCATTGACACAGTAGGCGGTGCGGATGAGCCGGGAGGTGATTTCGAAGTATGAGACGTAGAGGACGCCCCAGACCGTGACGATGATGCGCCTCTTGAGAACCCGCCGGGAGGCAGGCTTGAGGAGGGCGATTGTGAGCCAGAAGATCGTGCAGAACGTGACGAGCATGAATGGGAAAGACAGGTTGATAAGCATGCGACGGATCGACTTGGGCGTAGATGATGGGGCCAGGGCACAGTCCATTGAGAAGAATGCGCTGGCGTTGGAGAACCCACCAGCGAAATCTGCAGCAAACAAAAAAATTGTGATGATCATTTTATAGTTCGCTTGCTGCCTGTCTGATAAGCTGATGGGGCGCCACACAGCAGTGTCATGTCAGTGTGTGCAGTCCCTGCAACCATCAACGATACTCATACGTTTGTCATGGCAAGCTTCATTTCTTGTTGTGTCGGTCTACAGTGTGGCATCGTTGAGTGGTGGTGTGTTGACTTGCACAAACCGAAATCGATGACAACTGTGTCCATTCGCTTGTCAAGGCCAAAGAGAACTTTCGTTGCTTGCAGAATATCACCATTTAAATTTCTACATTACAGCATTTTAGAGATCACATCAGTACCATATGTGTGTTAAAAGGTCCTAAGACAGCTGCGGCTCGATTCAATCTTCAAGGGCAACTGCCCTGCATGGACCTCAATAGTTGCACAAGCTGGCAATTTAGAGCGAAACGCATTGTGACAGACTTATACACACAGATGCATTGAAGACTGTCTACGTCTTACAATGTTCATCTAATGCAGCATGCTGACATTACGACATGCATTGCCACAACTCAGTCTGCAACATATGCTGGGAACAACCAAGCTTTCAGCTAACTAGACGTCACAGCTGGACAGAGGTGTGCCATCAGTGGAAGAAACAACCCGCTTCCCAGTTCTGTTGCGAATGGGCAGAATGCCTCCTTCACATGCACAATTGTTACGATGTCCCCAAGACCCTTACCCAATGTTTCCAACATCCTCTGGATGGCATCTGTCCATTCCAAATTGATAGCCAGTGCGATGCTGACCTGCTGGAGAAAGTTCAGGGCGATCTGCAAGAAAGCCATGCAACACATACAGTCCTCATTGTGGCTGGCCTGGTGGTATGCAGAAGCGCACCCTGTGCCATTGCTAACCACCAAATTCTCACATTCACACCAGCAACTCTGGCTGGTGGACAACGTGGGCACATGCACACATATCTGTCTCCTTGTCCTGCTGAGTAGAGGCCAAATGTAAATCACCACTTAAAGGTTGGATACTACAACACTGCTGAAGAGGACTTGACTGTGGTGGAGGCACAAGGTTGGCAACAATTTATCCCTTTGGCCAAGCTGGTGAATATAAAATGCTGGGGTTTCTGATGATCTGAGAAACACTTCTTAGGGAATATGTGTGGGAGTACTTCAGTCATTTCCAGGTTTTCTCTTTTCAGTTCCCCGCCTTGCTGTTCTTTTGGACCTACCTCCTGCCCTTTCTGCAAAGATGGAATGAAAGATCATGAAGCATCGTGCACTCCATATGCACACACACCCCAACACTTGAACGTGCGATGGGATTGTATTGACTCCAAAAGCCAATCAAAAATGACATACTCCACCTTGAAGATCTCTGGAGCACGGTTCTCTCTGATGTAGTTATGATCAATCCCTGCCAGAGTCTTCCTGTATTTGGGAGGCATTCCGGCCAGGTTCCTCTTGGGCCTCGGCTGCCTGCTGCTCAACCTCTCCTCCCCCTGCCGCACATCCCCCCCCTCATCCTCAGCCAGTGGCCTTGTGCTGGGCAACTCGTCGATTTCATCAGAATGGGGCATACTGGCACCTGCCCCAGCCAAGATCATGCATTTCAGTTCGTTGCAGACACACAGAATACTAAGTCAGAAATGGCAGAACAAAAACGCTCCTCAGTGCCATTGCTCAGAAGCGACATGCAACGTGACCACCCTGTGTCACAGCGGTGCGCGTCAGGGTACATTCAATCACCTGCAATCCGCTCCTCCATTGGCCCCTCCAAGCTCTCCACTGGTGGAGCATGGGCTGCCACATGCTGAGCCAACCTCTCCTCTGCCAGCTTTTTCTTCAGGAGATGGTCATAGCGTTGTGAGTCCAGTAGGACACTGCGCACGAAGAAGGCAATCAACAGAGTAGACCAAATGGAGGCAAACGCGATCAGAATGGCAGAATTACGCCGTGATTGGCACTCGCTGCAGGTCCCTGAGGACCGTCTGCCATAGCCCACATCGCATGCCCCGCACAGCACTCCCTTGTACCCCTGCCACAACAGACCCATTCACATCACTCTTAGTGCAGCACTGCATTCCATACATCTGAGGCACTGTCTGCGAAGCCAGTCATTCTGCATCGCCTGCTTTCCAATGGCAGGGTCTCTGTTGGGGCCATTATATCCGAAGAGGAAGTATGTATCCTAGGACAAATTGATGAATAGGTGAATGATGTGCCCCTGCATCGCATATTTCACTCACTCTTATTGCACTATGCACCACATTGGAGCCACTGGGCTTCTATGTCCTCAACCTGAGGAATAGCACAACTATGCAGGTGTGGCACCCACACTCAGATCATATGGTAGCCTGTGCCGTACTTCTTGAGGGTACATCAATTGGAACTGCCATGAAAGCGCCGTCAACCCCCACACATACCCACCATGCCTCCGCTGAACTGCACGAATTTCGGTCCTGGATGTGCCCTTTACCTGACAACTGTGCAACACTAAGACGCTTTCAATGCGTCCAGAATGTGGCACCTCCCAGCCCAAACCACCCCAGGATCCATCCACAATTCCAAAACAATTTTCAGATGGACAAGGTTGGCTGAGCATTCAGCTTGCTGGCATTCAGGAGATCCAGCAGCAGCACTTGTCAACCAAGGGCTACGCAGTGCTAAACCTCCGTGTGGTCTGATCCCAAACGACTCACCCACCCGTCTGTTCAAAATTCCTTTGAAGGTGCCCTTATCAGGGCAAACTGCAAAACAGGTGGTTCATCCAAATCGTCAACAACACAGTGTAATGGTGCCCAAACAGATGATCGAATGGGAACATGATGCATGCATATTGTGATATCACTAATGATGCGACGGCAGCTGAAGAGCAGGACTGCCCCTCCTTACCGGAGCGCACAACGGATAGTCGTCTCCCATCAAAGTCTTGTTCGAAGCATGTGCTTCTGCTGCCAGACTTGCCAGTATTTCTGTTCTATTTCTGTAGTCGCAGGGTTCGAAATGCAGGCACTCGATTATCTGCACAGACCTCGATGTTGAATGCCAGTATCCCTGCACAGCACCCCCCAAAGATTTCATTCAGACCTGAGCAGACCAAGATGGCATTTTTGTGGATGCTTTCAAACTGCCATACTCTCAACAGAATGTACAACTTCTGTTCCAAAAAATCGTGTCGCATCTGTAATTCGCATGAGTGGAGATCAAAATGTACGAGTCAGAAAAATTGACCAAAACAACTGCAATGCGCCATATCAAGAACTGTCTAGAGAGCTCTCTAACATGGCAAACAGTGCTGCTGTCCTTGCGATGTGTTGAGCGCAGTTTAAACGCGATTTTGCATTTGTTGGGACCTAGGGCGGGGCATAGGGAGCTTGTCTCGCGCGTCAGAAGCATGGGTCAACCTGAGCTATCTCTGAGAGAGCGGTACACTTTGTTGGTTTGGTCTCCACTAAGGATGCAGCTTAAATCCAAATAAGGACTGGAATTTAGTACAGAACTCTGGGTGTCAAAACGAACCGTGTGAAGTTTGTGGCTAATGTCCAAGGGACACCTCCATCTGTGAATGAACATCTACCTGGCAGACTTGCCAAGGTCAGGATGGTCATAAATAGCAAATATATGGCTTAGATTGAGGCAGAAACGGCCAATGGTAGAAAACCAGAATTTTGGAAACAGAATCTAGCATACTGCAAGAAACAATGAGCAAAAGCACGGAAGTGCTGATATCAAGAATCATGAAAGGGTGTAGTAGTGCCTATTTGTTGTCTACGACAAAGTTCTACATGAATCTTGGGGAAACAGGTTGGGACATTTGGGAATAAGGGCAATGCAGCAATGTGGGGAAGTGAGGACCTGCATAGAACTGGACAGGGGCATTCTGGACAAGGCTGTGAATATCGTGTTTCATGGTGATGAATAATGCAACCAAGACCCATCTCAGCCCAAAATCGACCAAGCAACCCAAAAATGGTGAAAGACTGACCGACTGAGTTGACCTTGCAGTGTTAAGGCAAGAATTACAGATGCGACACGACTTTTGGAACAGAGGTAGTATTATAAATGCTGTCTATTCTGATGCACTCGTACTTGTTGTCATTGCTGTTTGTACTTGAGTTAACCGATCTTCTAAATTGTCCTGCACCAATATCATCCAATGGACATTTCCATGGATGAAGACAATTCGGAGTTGTGTGGTTGGCCTTTGTGCAATGATGTTAACTTGCTTCATTCTTCATTTGTGTCAATTATTTGCCACCAGTGTCCACACCACTTGCTTTTCACAGTTTTATCTTTGTTTGCTGCACATGTGAGGGTTGCATTGAGTTCGCACTGATGCAGAGCCACGACTGTTTGGCCACTGTATACCGATCCACTTGCCCTTGTTAACTTCACATCATCAAGCATGGGACAGAACTGTGAACCCACTGCTGAATACGACATGCCTGTAAGATTCTTCACATTGACTGCAACACCAGTACAATGGCAGATTCGACAGAATGCATGTCCATGGATGAGCACTGGCACATGGGCATGTCTGTGTGGGCTGAAAGACATTGAAAGGCACGGCAACATTGGTTTGCCACTACCTTGTGACATAGCGCATGAAGCAACAAAACTCACATGAGATCCGATGCAACATAACACCGAGCCCAACAAAAAAAAAGTACCACAAACGGTTCACTGCAAGGTTGCAGTTTGGTAGACCATTGCTCCACGACACAGCAACCTGACAGTCTACACTCACATGCAGTCCAACACAAATAGCAAAACCAAACTGCATGCCTGGCTTAAGCTCACCTTCAGGGGGGTTATTGTGGAACCGTTGCAGAAGGCATTGGCCTCGGAGCATGGCTGGCACTCCTCCTCCAATGGGTTGAAACTGAACAGGTTTGTTTCGCATACTTTGCAGGTCCTCTCCTCCAGCCTTTCCACCTCTCCCACCACACAGTTGCGCACCTCCACAGGCAGCACCATCGGGGCCATGATGCCTGGGAAAGAGAAGTTCACCTGGCAATGTGCAACAATGTGGTGCTTTCAATAAATCTGACAGTCCTTCAGACCCAGGGGCCATTTATGCCAATGTACTTCTGTCGACTCGTTCATCGCGATTTTACATAATCACGAACAGGCCATCACTTCATTGAAGAAGAAGAAGATTTCTTACAAATGGTGACACGGCAAGGATGTGCATGTCACCGCCGTGGTTTAGCTGAAAAAAACACTTCATTGAAATTGAAAGTGTCCAATAATTGTGCAAGCGCCTGCACAGAGCAGAGTGCTACATGGCCCACTGAAACCGAAACTAGCTGTGGCCTCAATTGATTCCAGCCCGACAAAACGGCTCCCTAGGTGAACTTTGGGCGAAATCCGGCTTCAGGCAAAATCCAATCAAAGGTCAGCATAAGCTGTCTTTTGCACACTCGACATTATACTTAAACGATACTTTTACGCTTCTAAACTTCTATAACTTCTGTACTTCTAAAACAACCAATGCAATACCATAGATCATGGAGGATAGCGCCCTCCCCGCATTGAGTATCAAGGCTGACGTCCAGAATGCAGGGGATGCTGTCTTGCGTGCCCCCCATGTTCCACATCAAGTCGCTGATTCAAAACTGGCCCCCTTGCATTGTCACAGTGGTCTATGTACTGTTAGCAAAGCTTACCAGCGCCCTGCCAAATGAGCACATTAGATAAGGCTCCATTCATGGCAGGAACCAAAACCAGTGACAAAAAAGTGTCACGGTGCTATAGCTCGCTGCATTACGCCATGCTCCCAGTGCTTCCAGATTGGCTAGCAGAGCGAGCTGGTGCCTGGCCAATATAGCACATTACATAACACTACATGAGGCACAATCATAGCGCCAACCAAAAGCAACGAATAACAGCTAGTGGGACGTCGCACTGCACTGCGAATCTTGGGGAAGTGGTGTTTGACTGAAGGAGGGACGTCATGGCACTGTCTATTTGGAGTGGACTTGAAAATATTGGGGTGACAGCACATGCAATGATATGCAAGATTGTGTGAGAATGCTTTTGCATTTGTGACTTTATGTGATGTTGAAGCGACTAGCGCAGCTCTTTCCCCCCACACACCGCCATCTTGCGTAAAACCCCTGCGCTCCGCAACACCGGCCATGTTTGATAAAGCCGGGGGCGTTATCTAAAGGCCACCGCACTATTCAACACCCTCCGCGCTACCTTCCGTGAGGTACGGTACACAATACGCGCTCCTGCCAGTCAGGTAAGGTCTTCTGACCGGCAGGAACGCACACGCCGCTCCGCACCAAACGTACCTCGTACGACCCCGGGAGGGCCGTAAGGAACGTCGCCGAAAAGTTTGCCCTCCCAGCCTCCGTTTCTGCGGCCCTCTGCCCGAACACCAGCGCGCCGAACCTCTCGTCCGCGGTCACCCCCACCAGAGTGTCCCGACTGTTCACCGTCTGGCCCACGGCGTCCACCACGGTCACCACCACCGTCTCCAGCATCTTTCCGCTGCTGTGGCCCTCTATGCGATCCGGCACCAACTTCGCGGACACCGGGATCGTCGCCATGACGGGACCGTAGCCCGATTCGGCGACCGTGTTGTTGGTCCAGCCGCACAGCTCGGGCTGGAACACGTCCAACGAGCGGAAGGTGAGGGGCTCGCTGTCATTGGGGACGCAGTTGATCTCGAAGGCATCGGGGAGGTGGGAGAAGAGGGCGCCGCCGGACATGCCCGCGTTGTTGCCCAGGAACTGGGAGTTCCGGAGCGCCATCAAGACCTGGGACGGGGTCACCAGTTCGGAGTCGCGGGGGCCCTCCAGCATGCCGATGCCGACGTCGGAGGGCGCCACGAACGCCCCACCTGCGCCAGCGCGAACAGGGGAGTCATTGATTGTGGACTGGTGGGGATCGTGATAAGTGCATGGCTTATGTGACGGGGTTAGTGGTCCCATCCTTCCTTGCGGTTGGAAGGACTGCGTTTGTTGATCGAGACATGAGGAGAATGGGGGTGTGGATGGGCACATTCGCTGCTGACAGGGACACCTCTACTGCTTGCCGAAGGCAGGAACTGGGGCATATCATGAAAAGGGGCACTTTTTAGAGCCCCACACAACAGCTGAGGAAGGAAAATTTGCACAGAATCCAAATGTTGATGAAAGTGTTGTGTCAAATGATGCAACAACAGTGCTGAGTGCTCACCTCCCCTGTCAGCAGCAGTGTTCTCAGTCACATTGCAGTCAGTGAGGTCCATCAGCATGACAGCATTCAGCCCCATGCCATCCTCTGTCTCCACCAGCCGCTCCACGCCCCGTAGTGCTCCACCATTCCTCAGTGCCCTATTGGCCAAGAACTGTGAACTTTGGCCAAGGAAGAAGCCCTCACAGTGCACAGCACCCCCTTCCCCTGCTTCATTGCCCTCAAACCTGGAGTCTATCACGTTGAGGGAGGAATCCAGCAGCACCATCGCACCCCCCCCCAATGCCCCTCTGCTGTTGCAGGTGTTCTTCACAAAAGAGCAGTTGGTACATTCAACGCCTACGTGATCAACAAATAGCCCCCCGCCTCCACTCCCACCAGCTTTGATGCTGTTCATGGTAAATGCAGCATCGACAAAGGAAACCACAAATTCAGGGACTGACTGTTGTGCACTATTTTGGGGTAGGTCAGGCGCTCCTGGCACTGAGCGATCCTCTGATACGATGCTGACTGCTGCCCCTTGGCATCCGCTATTCTTGGTGAAGTCGAGGCGGGAGCCTGATATGCCCTTCGTTCCCTCAAAAACTGCAAGGTGCATGGCGCCCCCACTTACTGCAACGTTTTCGAAAAACTGGACATCCTCCAGGTTCACCATGTGGCCTCTTGTCAAGCTGAGGGCACCTCCGTCAATGGCACTGTTTTGGCTGAACACTGAACCTCCCCTGATGGAGCAATTCACATAGTCACCTTCCATGGCAAGCCCGCCACCTGTGCCAATGCCTGCCAACAACTCACGGCAATCTGACCTCAGGTTGGTTTCGACTTCATCCCCACCCGCGGTATTACCAGTGAAATTGACGCTGGTCAGTATCACTCCGTTTCCTCCTTCTGTGACTGCCTGCAATGCAATCGCACTGAGATTAATTGGTATGGTTCCAGGAACTATGTCTTCCTTGTCAGTAATGCATTGCACCTAATCAAGAGATCGTGCATTTTATCAACAAAATGCAGCTGCGGTTCAGTTCCTTAAGGCTGAGCAATGACATTATGAGGCTTGTTGTCTGGTTGTGGACAGCCGCAAAACTCTCCAGTGAATGCGCAATCTGCAATTTGCATCAACAAACAAGCACATGCAAACTCAGTGCATGTGCACACTGTGCACAGTGCGTATGCAAAAGAGCCAAATGCACATAGTTGTGCACAACGGTCGCTTCATCCACAGTGTTGATGTTGATTCTTTGCAGTCGATGAGCAGCACAGTGCAATCTGGCCAAAAAATGTGTCGTAATCTGAAGTAGTGGTGAGGTAACTACAGAGCCATCTCTGGGCATCGGGCCATAGTTTCAACCACGTGCTCCCTTTCTTCACATTCCTTTCCCAGTTTTGTTCGAATTTCCACCCACCTCTACAACCATCCCGCCTCCCAGCATTCCCGCAACGTTGCCTGAAATCAGCACAGAATCTACTTCCAGGGTGCCAACCTCATTCACAGCAATGCCCCCTCCATCCCTATCCACCTTGTTTGACTCAAAGACGCTATCCCGGATAGTAATGGACAAACTTCTTCCCTCAAGGTGCAAACCACCGCCATTTGCAATCCTGCGATGCCCCTCAACAGCGTTTTCCAAAAACGTGCACTGTATGAGCTCCACCTCACTGGGTTTGGACGCCTGGACTCAACAGAAAGCCGTTTCATCAGTTCATCACCATGAAGATGGGCTGCACATGAACCAAATGCCTCTATGATAGTATTAAAAGGAATCCCCAAACTCAAGGATATGAACGAGCAATCTTGGAAAGTCCAGGTCTCTGCCTAAGTGCCCAAGCTGTATTTTGTTCCCAACGTAACTTACTGCTGGCATGCTGCTCTATCAATGCAGGCCATGACAAGCGGGGGAAGTATGTTGTCTGCTGTGCATTGATGAATCTCAAGGATGTGAAGATGCCATTGCAACAGCGCTAATGGGTAGTAGCATGCTGAAAGTACACAAGATCAGACAACTGTGGCCTATGTCAGAAATTAAAAACAAGATATGCATTGGCCACTTGTTGGGACAAACTAGAACTCCTGCACAATAGTTGACTTTGAGAGCAATGAATTCAAAAAAGTATCCTGCAACAATGATATGTGAGGCCTGCAGGGAGCCTGCTAACTGCCAATTGCCGATGGCCATAGGCACCTGATGGGTTCATCACTTGGGGTACCAGAGAAGTTGTCTTTCCATTCTTTCTCCCAGGCTTGCAAACATGATCAAGTTCGGCAGAAACATGAATCTTAGTTGCATCTGGTGCCATGCACAGGTGGGAGACTGACTTTGTAGTGGTGTAAATCTGTGCATTCTGATCAACAGCAACAGCACCTACAATATGCAACGACCACACTGAAAACATATCCAACAAAGGCAAATTTGAAATGAGAACAAGCAACACACATTCAATCAGCAGACCAATGCAGGCCAGCAACGCACCTCTACCACCATCGCCCCTCCAGGTAGCTCCTCTGCGAGGTTGGAATTGAATTCCACACCATTGATGAGCGACCTTCCCACGTTGGTTAAGGCAACAGCGCCGCCCCCCACCTCTTTTCCCCCAGCCAACGCAGCATTTCTGGTGAAAATGACACCGGAATCTAGTTCTACTAATGACTCGGGACCCTCCACATATATCGCTCCTCCTGACAGCGATTCGTTCTCTTCGAAAATTGTATTAGTGAACCTCACGACGTGCGCTTCAAAGGCTCCCTGCAGTGAAGACGTAAACTTGAGGTGCCAATAATGCACATGGCGAATGAGCTTCAACAGCAATGGCAGCCGCTTCTGTGATGTCTTGTCCTTTATGACGACAGGTTAGTGAATTGTGATCTAATCAAATTCAGTCAGATCCAAGGGGCACCCAACACGCACAGTGGTCAGTCAGCAAATTCTACCAAAGCATGCGGACCGTTTTCGCAGCTGTGCACAGTGGAAAACACAACACAAAGGAAAAAGAAAAAGGAAATGGAAAAAAACTGTTTGCAGTGTATGATGTGCCCATGATTGGATTTCCACACTTATGTGAACAGAGCTTGGTCAGTGTTCAAGAGTCTTACCAGCAAGTACACTGCCCCACCAGTGTTGTTGGCTGAGTTGTTGGCAAAAGAAGCGCCATCCACAGTAAGATCCCCATTGGTGTCACCCGATATCGCTCCTCCGAAGCGATCGGCAGCATTGGCAGTGAAAATACACCCACCACCAATCGTTGAGCTGAGATTGATGCCTTGGAGGAAGATGGCCCCACCGTCCTCCGCACGATTGTTTACAAACGTTGTGTTTTCAAAGTCCAGCTCCGATTTTGCTGTGTTTTCCTGCACCACAACACAGATGCAAAAGACCAGTCAGCTGCAGCTCATTGTTAAACGTCACAAGTTGTCTATTCTTTTAATCCAGTCAGCTGCAGTTCACTGTCAAACACAGCCAGTGGCCTATTCCTTCAAATCCAACTGTCAGGAGTGAACACCACCAAAATGCATTGGGCACTACTGTTGTAGCTTGCCCATCCAAATCTGAAGCTGGAGTGCTCAGTTCCCTGGGGATGGTCTTCTGTGTGCTGCACCCACAAGGTCAATATGCCACATGTGGCCTGTGACTGTTCCTGTTGCTGCAGTGGAATGTTAGAAACGTCCGTCTGGCTCATTTTCAGCATCCCTTACACCTCCACTAGGCAGCGTACACAAAATATATTGCAAGAATTTCATTGGCATCAATCAGTTCACTGCATGGTATGTGATTTATGCAAGTCCTGAAAATCATCGACAAAGCGCAGGTGTGATGCACATGCAGACAACTGTCATCCAATCAAAACGCAATGGGTTTTTTGTCAATGTGCAGTATACGCTGGGGCGCCTCACCAGAGCTGCAACAGCTCCTCCAAATGTCTGGGCACTGTTGTTGGCAAAAATGCAGTGCCTAATGGTTCCAGAGGCACCATCGTCCAGCTCCACAGCACCCCCTGTCTTGTCGGCTGCATTGTTGATGAACACAACATTATCTGCCTCAAGCTGGGTTGCTTCACCCTGTTACAATATGAAACCGATCAGGCTGGGCAATGCTGCACCTTCCAGTGCACCAAACACCATCAATCTGACTGGCTGCATCTTGTGCATATCTGGGACAAAAGGGCTGAATGCCTGGCAGCTTGCCATAGCTCAGCATGAATTACTGACATTCAGCACACTCTTTTGTGCTTACAAGACAGATCGCAGCATGCTCGAGGCTGAAGCAACAGTGGAAATGCACTTCAAGTCACTTGCGAGTGTCCTGAGCAGCAAAACAAGTGCTTGCTGTACAGTGCACAGATGGCAAAGCTTAAGTTGATACACTCGTTGTCATCAGACAGACCACTGCTGCTGCGCTGGCAAGGCACTGGAGGCCACTCAATTTCCCTTCAGAAGTGCCAGTTTCCTTTGCGGTGAGTATTTGGTCATCGGAGTTATAGCTGGCGACTGTGCAGTGACCACTGTATACAGCGAATCTGTGCAACTGACAAGGGCTAAGAGGCCAATACAATTCCTTCTCTCTACAAACTGATCAACTTCACTACAAAGCCAAAGGCAACAAAGGGAAGCCACTGCCGGACACCTGCTGCTGAGCCATGTGATCAAAATCAATTTTTCATGCCGGCAACATAGCTTGAGGCACGATGGATTGCCTTTTGCCATGCCCTTGAGAGCATATCAGCAGCGGCCAGACATTGTGAATTGCATTCTGTCTATTGCGCATCTGGTGAGAAGCAGTGAGCACGTGCCAAGTTGTACTTGCAAACCCTGCACATGCTTGACCTCATGAGCAAAGCGTCCATTGTGACAGCAAGCACATGTCCTGGCAAAAATCAGCTTTGGGACCATTAAATAAACCAACACTCAGCTGGTCAGTAAGCCACACCCACCTTTGCGCTGATGGCAGCACCTCCAGTGCTGCCACCACGCGTGTTCCCATCGAAAGTGCAGCGCGTCACAACTGCCGACACCCCACCAGCCAAAGCCAGCCCCCCTCCTGTGTTGTTCACGATTGTTGATGTGTTCAAAATGAGTAAACAACGTCCCTCCACATCAATCACACCATCCTCACGAGGCGCCCCATTGCTTGCAAACTCAGAGTCGGAGATGCTGGCACCCCCATCCTGGCAGTCACTAATTTTTATGATTTTGCTTGCTGTGCAGCCACTGATGGAGAGGCCAGAGATCTCCACCCCTCCAGTCCTGAGAAAACAGCGGGAACCACACACACGGTGCAAATGTAACCCTGTACCAGTGTCAGACCTCAACTGGAGAACTGCAGTGCACTCTCCACATCACCAGCAGTCACAAGATCAAAGAGATTTCAGGACTTCACTTCACGTCAGCAGAGCAACAAGATTGAACTCTGGAACAGCAATGACATTGCAGGCACTCTGCAATGAATTGGCTGAAACTGCATCTGTTGGAAATATTGTTGTTCAGTTTCAGCAAAAGAAGCGACCCGGCAATGCAAGGAAACCCCAGCAAGGGATAAAGGGGAACTGTGGCATTGGTGCGTTGAAAACACAGTTGGCACAACAGCACATGGCATAGCATATGCCACCTTCAGCATTTTGAAATTTCAGAATTGAGATGTTTGTTTCGCATTTTTCAACAGACTGCTATTTTGGAGCCTCCACATCATGGCCACAGCCGGAATGGCGACTCCGCTCAGTTCGCGTGCTCTCAAATGCTGGTTTTCCGCCACAGCGGTGCAGGCATCTGGGGCCGCTAGATGCCATAGCAGTCCAGAGACCCTCGCATTGCAGCTGGAGCTGCTCCATATTTTCTTGGCACTATTGTGTTTCTATTATTGCACTGCATAGAAAGGCCAAACGTCATGCTATGATGTGGAAGGGTATAATACACCAAGGTAAGCTGGTGTCCATGGTAGGGGCCGAATGGCAGGTCTTTTATCCATGATTCTTTTCCTTCTGGCACTGATCAGATTTGCTGATGATGACATTTCTCCACCCCACAAAATAAAGTATGGGATGATAGGCGTATGTACGCCACATATCCAAATACGAGCACATATCTTCACAGTAATCGCTGCCATAATACTCCTCAACGCCATGGCTGCAGCTCTACAGGCACAAACAAGCATTCTGGTGCCGTACTTGATGTCCAGCACTCTCTTGCCCTCCTCTTGGCATCCCAGCTTCACTTTCTCCCTTCTGCCTGGTGCTGATCGGATGGCCACTGGACTGCCCAAGAGGAGCGTGTCGCTTGCAGACACCTCGGGAATGTCAAGGGTCAGTGTACCTCCCGGTACACAGTTTATGAGGGACTGCAGGTCATTATTGGCCAACTGCAGTGTCTCATTCGTGACAACGATCTGAGGAGCGTCAGATCCAGCCTCAAGGAAATTTTGGCAGTCAAGGCTCTGCCCTGTGAAGTAGACAGATTGTCCCCATCAGTCAATATCCAACTGGAACCCTGGAATGGCCAGAAACTGCACACCTTTTTGTAACATGCAACTACCTGAAATGTGCATTGGTGCAAACAACAGCGGCTTCTTGCTGCATTTGCACATCACCTATTCAGCCCTTGGCCTCCTGGCAGTGCCAGCAAATCTCTTCCTGCACCAGCTCCTATTCAAACTTGATAGTGGCTGCACTAGTCGCAGAACAGCCAATATCAGGTGCCATGCAACATGACAGAGAGCCAACACGTGCCACTTGGCACCCATGATGCCAGCCTCTGCCCTCCCTTGTTTTCTCCCCCATCCCCACCACCACCACCACCCACCCTACCCACCCTTCATTGTGGATGGCATCAGCGTCCCTTGTTGCCCGTAGCTCATATGTCAGTGCCAATGGCGACATTGCCAATGGAGCAATATCTACCCTAACACTCGTGACAAATGACTGCCACTGTGGTGAATCAGACATGTGGGCATGAGCAACACATTTTGCGTATCCCATATTTCCCATTGGACGAGTGGCGAGGGCATCGCTGGCAGTGCACACAGAACAGTCCTAGCTCTTGTTTCCAAGGGAGTTGTGCATTGCGTATGGTGGTTACATCTCGAATAAAGGCAGTGGAACAAACAGCCCTTTCCATCTTGCAGCCGACCAGTTTATCTTTGCCTCCTCACGCAAAACATGACAAAAGACAATCTCTACAAAGATCAGTCAGATGGCCAATTACTCTGCGAACAATCGGCCATGTGGTTTCTTTTCGTGGCATTTGACACAACCAGCGTTTGAACCATCCCCAGACTGCCACACTGACAAGCAAATGTTTTGAACAAAATGTTTGTTGCATGGAAGCCATCAGCTCATTATACACGCAGGGCAACCTTTTTATCCTTGGAACATTCAAAAAACACAACGACGTTGTTCTTGGCAAAACAACTTGAAAATTGTCGGCCAGCAAGGCGACGTCCATGTTATGAGAAGTTCTTGGGCTGAGAAGTGTGCGTCGTTGCCTGGGTGTGAGCGTGGGCTGGTTGAGTGGCTGGCAGAACGCTCAAGCCGTTCTTGGCAACGGTCATGATGATGGTGAAAAGACTAGGGTTTGTTATTCTGCAGTACTGCACACCGATAATCCGAGAGCCCCACGTAAGCCGCGTAAGGCCGCCCACCACCCAACGTTGGGAGGCCTCGACGCCCGCGCAAAAGTACAGGAAAAGGCACGAATGCCAAAAAAAGTCGCGCCTCTCGACCAGGCAGCAGCCGACACGGCCTCGCACCCACCAGTACTGCAGGCGTACAATGGCTCCCAAACCGTGACTGACAACTGTCACGAACGCACCGCCACACAACATCGCGGCTGCTCGTCCAGTTGGCTGGCCCGGCCAACCCGAAGGGCGCCTTCTCCCCTCGTGCACGCCGCCCCCATATCCAAGCCTCCTGGGCAGCGGGGCGGCGCAAGCGCTGTACCGCCCGCCGCCGAGGTGGAACCGCCGGCGGGGATCGGCATTCCGCTCGAAGGGCGCTCGCGTGGTCACTCTCGTGTGCGCGGGTGAATCTAGCGATGCCCAACGCCGCCCGCCACGCAGGCATCCTCCTACTTGGGGGCATTCCCGCGCCATCGCCGATCGGTGGCCCTGGGAGGCCGCAGAGGCCGCCGCGCGGGCTCCCCGCCCCGCCCCGCGCCTCCCCCACGCGTTCGCGACGCAATGCGGCATCCGGACATCACGACAGCCTCGGGCGCAGGCCACACGCGGCCAACCCAAACAGCAGATCCTTCCCCCCCACCCCCACCCCACCCCCCAGGTACACACACACACACTGGCTCCACCTTTTTCCTTCCAGTTCTCTCACCCCGCACCCACCGACCATCCCGCGGTGGCCATGGTCCCAGGCAAGAGCCGTTCGATACGCCGCGGGCTGGGGGGCTCCCTCGGCGAGATCGCCGAACGCGGCGCTTCGAGCCCTGCGCGCCGCGGGGCCCCGCCCAGGCCCTTCGGCCTGACGGACCGCCAGATCCGCTCCAGCCGCGGGGGCGCAAACTCCTCCGCGCGGGGCGGGGGGCCGCGCCCAACCTTCGCCGGTGCGACGGCTGCAAAATCGCACCTGACGCCGCGTGCAGCCATGTCGCAAGCAGAACGATCGCCGCCCAGGCGCCCCCTCCCGGCCTCCCCTGCGCCGCGCCGCCGCCTCCCCCGGTCATGCCTCCCGCGCCGGGGCCATCACTGTTCGCCCTTGCGCGGTGCCTGTTTACCTCAAGGCCTGTCACAGGTGTTATATCGAATGCGCATGAAGCCGGGCGACAGGTCCCAGGATCAGCGAGGGGCAGTCATGGCGGCGGGCGGAGCAACGTAATCACCGTGAGATCATGGCCAGTTCGCCATGCACCTTTTCGGGTTTCGCGGCCATGCTGCCGCGCACGTGGCATGACGACCGAGCTTGGGGGGTCGCCACTATAATTGACGACCCGTAACAAATAAAGCAGCTGGCCAAATTCACAACTCACACCCCGTGGAGGATGACCAGGAATATTTGTGGAGCCCGGCAGCGCGCAGCTCTTGGCTGGCCACGGCCTGTGCCCTGCAGCCAATGGACGCCGCTCCGTGCTGTCCCATCGAGCATCGCTACAACGTTGAGCACGGACCGCAAGACGCGTTGACACATGAGAAGGGAAGTGACATTATGCACGGACGGCAAGGCGTGTTGTCCCATCAAAAGGAAGAATACGTTGTGAATAACGGACAAGGCGATCGCCCCATCAGGAGGAAGGTGACGTTATGCATGGCCGACAAGGCGCTGGGTGTTGGAGTGACAGCGTCTGCCTGGCCATCGCTACCAGCGTTGCTGCCGACACCTTGTCTGCAAGGAGTTGCCTGACAGCGTGCTCATTGTCTGGAGTACCCACACGGGTACTGTGAAACCCCAAACTAAAGTTGCAATGGGCTTATTCCAGACAACATGCCACTTCAATAGTATTGCACAAAAAATGCAGTTCGTCGTATTAAAGCAGCCTCCATGTGCAGCTGCCCTCAGGGCTGGTAAGCTGCTGCTACCACTGCACTAATGTGAGGATCCAATCCTTCCATATAAATCCCAATATTCGAGGCACTATGGATGCTTTTCCTCGTTATTTCTGCCAGTGACCTTTGTGAACAACGTCAAAAGATCGTCGTAGTATTCTGCAACTTTCAGCCCACTTCCTCACTCAGGTGCTGCCTGAGCGAGGCCCTTCATCTCAGTGTTCGTAAATGAACTAGGCTGATCAGTGCAGCCAAATTTGACTTCAATTTAGGTTGGCGCCAACGACTCATCTCAGTTCTTGTCAGCCTGGATTACACGTCGATCGTTGTTCATCACAGCCGACTGACATGCAATCAGGCAACGGTTCACTGCACCAACAGCACAGGTCGCAGATTCACGTCGATCGTCGCTCAGCACCTCGATTGATGGATGGCTAAGTATGTCCACCCTCTTCACTGCCGCCCTTTTGCATGCGTTCTTTCATTCGTAAAGCTTACCAAACAGCCTCGATTGCGTCCAAGAGTATTTTCTTGGGAAACGCAACAACTTAATGCCTTGTACAAATCAGGGAATGGTTATAGGGACGCAGCACAGGGCCACCACCTTTCCCGTGTTTGACACAAACCACAACACTTCCAAGATGCTTGAGAGCGTTTCTTGGTGCCTCAAAGGCTTTCCCAATCTGTCAAGCGTCAGCCTACACCCCAGAGATTTCTGGAGGTGTTTCCTGGGCCACCGAAGTTCTTTTTTCCAGTTAGACGCTCGTTGCGTTTTTAGGGCCCTGCAGGTTCTCCCAATTGGTCACTCGCTGTGCAACTATTTACACATACAGCAGGTCACAATTTCGCAGCAACTTTCTCACATGCACAACACCTGACCTCAGCACACACTAGGAAAAAACAGGCCAGATGACACAATCCTGACACGGTCTGTTCAAAATCCAACTGTGTACTTTCGGCAAATGTGGTCCCAAAAGTACACAGTTAGTACACACATTGACGCAGTTTCAACCGTGTACCTTCAAACAACTGTGTAGACTACACGGTTTCCTAGGATGCACGGTTAAAACTGTGTCAATATGTGTATTAACTGTGTACTTTTGGGACCACATTTGCCGAAAGTACACAGTTGAATTTTGAGCAGACTGTGTCAGGACTGTGTCATCTGGCCTGTTTTTACTAGTGACATTCCCAAGGCTGACCGCCCTGTGAATCAGCCTGGACAGCTTGTCGTCGTCTGTCATCATCATCATCATCATCATCATCATGATTTTTTACAGAACAAGGCAATAAGGTAGCCGTCAGCTTCCTATTTTGCCTGAGCAAAGCAGAGTCGGTGATTGGTTCATTGAAATCTAATGAGAAATACAAACTAAATCTATGATCTATGAACTTTCGATGCCTAGAAGCGATTATCGATGGTGATACATCAAACGAAGTGTGTTCGCAAGCTGGCGAGCTGGAACTGTAGCAAAAAGTACTTTTGCATTGCGACATCGAAAAATACAAGAGGAGCTTCGACGGATGTTGTCGTAGGATTTGCAATGAGTCATCCAGATAGTCAGGCTGGGTGCCGCGGCCAACTAACCAAATGCCAGATATTTGCATCCGCCGGGCCCCCGTCCTCTTCCCGAATATTCCCTCACAGATTCTTCTATAGGCTAGATTATCCCTTTATCATCCCTCTCGTCATCCCCTTCACTTGGATCCGCCCCTCTTGATAACCCAAGGTTTCCAGCATTAATAAAATCTAAGTAAAATGCACTTTCAACTTCACCCAGCTCGTACACATGATCGTAACTTCACTATCATTTCATGATTTCCTTAATGCCAGCAGTATGACGCTGAAATCCTAATGAATTCACTCCAAGCTACAACAAATCACGTGCAATTGCACAATTCATCAGTAGGCTCACTCACTTGAGCCTTATTAAATAGCTCACCAACAGACAACAGAATCAGTTCATACGAATCACAGGTCATATTACTAAATCGAGCGCACTGTTACTAACCCTCTTAGTCAAATGTTCTTAGTAGTACGTTATTCGCGATCAGCGAGCTCAGATCCCACCCGTCTCGGGCCTGAGCACGACCGTTGATTCGTTGTCCATCGAAACTGCGGACTCCGCGCAGCCTCCGCCACCGATGCTCACGCAGTCCTCCTCGGCATCCTCTGTGGCCCCTGCTGCGTCTGCTGCGCTCGCTGCGTCCGAACGATCCGCCATCGTGCCGTGGCGGCCACGACATCGTCAAGGTCGCGGACAGCCCGTTCTTGCTCGCGGCCAGGTCATCAATGGCACGCAGACCTGGCCCTGTTCCATGCCTCCCCCTCGAATTGGCCGCAATGTGAGGAGCTGCCCAAGAGACAGAGTTCTGCCCGTTCGCGTGCTCCCGCGGCGGGTCAGGCGACTCACTGCTCATCGCGCGACTCGCAGCGTGTGGTCGGGCTCCAAGGTGCCCGCTCGGAGCAATGGGGTCGATCGTGTCAGATTGACAATGTGCTGGCGCATGTGGGGATGCCATCTGGGCTGGGAGGTGTCCAAGATGAATGCAAAACTTGTCAGGTGCAGTGCAGGTCACGCTCCTCGACGCTCCCTGCCAGAGGCTCTAGAGTGTATATCATACGAGCTCAGAACCAAAAGCATTTAATACTAAACTCAATTTGAGAATGAGCAAGCCAATTTGCAGCTCGTATGAGCTGCTTTGAACGCAAAATTCATGGCAATCAGGAAATTTGTGTGCAGGCACCAACATGTGACAAATTTGGCAAAAAAGCTAGTCATTAGAGGGTGTTTAGCGACGAGTGCTTGCGAAGGATCAGGTTTTCGGTGTCTGAGAAATACAGTTCTGGCAGAAGAGAAACATTAATTTCAACAGCTTGAGCCGTTTGGTTACAATACACTCATTTGCATACTGTTAGATACGCACCACACAGGATAGACAGCAGTTCGGTGTTGAATTTCAACGGCATGTCACAGGTAGGTCGCAGCATAGAAAGGACAACGCCGCTCTGGACGTTGGATGCAAGGCATCAGTTGCAATTGACAATGTGGTGTCTGAGTCTGCACTATCGAGGCTGCACATAAAAGGGTGCTGGCGGTGACTTCCAGGGGGAGATGTGGTGAAAAAGTGCCATGAGAGAGCCTCTTCAAATCCATGGGAAACACGTCGACGCAGCACACCTGCCCAGTTGAAGGGCTTGTGAGAACGGCGTCCTGACGCGGCGGGATCTAGTACTGCGTAACATCGATGACAATCCTAAGCGGTCTTGCGCGGCATTAGGCCATGTCGCGTTCAGATCTTGTCGTCAAAAGATGGTGTAGGAACGTCTGACCAATTTTGTGGCAGCTGATTGTCAACCTAGGAGCCATGTCGAGTGGTGCGCGGTTTTGTTTGTGTGGTTGTAGGGCAGTGAATAAAACAGCTAATTTTAATCGGCTCCTGCACAGGGATCAACATGTGCCAGTATGAAGCGGGTGGTGAGCCGATAGCTGCAGTGACGAAGCCGCTGGCTATCGGGGTACGGGACGTCTGTGAATTCTTCTGATGGGAAATCGATCTAGTGTGAAGGGAAGGTGGCAACTGGCCACTGGCAAGACATGAGGTTGAGCTGCAGGTTAATGTAAAGCTTACCTAGAATTTTGACCTGTCCGGGGATGAGACAGGAGGCAATGCAATGTGGGGGATAAAGGGACAGGGCGATTCTATCTAAAGGCTATCCTGTGTGTTTTGACGTGTGTCGAGACGTAGGCGCAGGTAATATGAAATCTGCCTCCACAGGCGCTGGTGTGTGCGGCGTCTCAGGGCTGTTGCACGTGGTAAAGGCGGACGAGCCAAGCGCACTGGCCCTCTATAAGCACCAGTTGGCGCCATTCCTGCTTGTCCCTTGCGTGGCCCCTTTGTGTGAGCGCTACTTGTGGCGCCGCTGCTGAAGCTGACTGCCTGACCTAAAGTACCGCAACTGTTGTGCATGGCGTACGCGAATTCACGAGTGCACGCCCTTCAAAATCGCTTGGCAGCATCCATCGTTTCTTGTGCCCCTTCCGTCTTCTGGCCGCTCCGCAACGCACGACAGACAAAGGATTGAAGTGTCGGCTTGGTGAGTTTCTTCACGACGGTGTTAATCAACTTGTGCCCTGCTTCTCAGCGCTCTTGCCATTTCAGACTCCCTTGAAAAGGCAAC